GTATTTTATATTCCTTATATTTATGACCATTTACTAATATGCATGGTTTACCTTTCTCAGTCTCGAACCTTTTTATATACATAGATCAATTTTTTACACTATTATTATTTTCACGACGATACACTTTACGGAACAGCTAGTGAGTTAAACACGGTTTAAAATAGTTAACAGTCAACAGCCAACAGTCAATTGCAGCTCAAATGTAAAATCCGATCACGACACTATCATTGACGCATACTGATATCTGCAGTCCATGGATAATAAGATAAATTAACAATAAAACATTATCTCGATTACTCGGTTGTACATATGGGGAAATCAAGTCCAAGGAAAACCAAGTCCGACTGTATTTTTAAATAGTGTACTAGAAAATTGTTATTATAAGCGCAATCGTGTTGCGTTTTATGCAGGTAAAAAAGGTTATAGACTGGCGCGATAGTGCTAATTGGTCGAGCGCAATCGTATTGCGTTTTTTGAATGGAAAAAGGTAAGCTGGGCGCAATCGTGGGAAAGGCTTGGTTAATTGACACTTGAATATTCTTCTTTTTAGTAGGAGGTTCATCTTGTGAATTTGATGCAGGTCTTTTATTTAAAGCTATAAATTATAATAAATACAATATTAAAAATACTAAGTTTGTACAAACTATCATACAATGTATAGTTTATACTTTTATCTGTTTCTGCAGTATTTTCAATACTTGATGAAGCTGTAGGATCATCTGAATTGTCCTCGTTCAAATATATCTGTTTGTGATGCCGTATTATAAGTGTTTTTAAATTTGTGGTATTTCCGCTAGTTTTTACATTTTTCAAACATATTTTACATTTTGAATTATATTTATCAATGTAACTAAATACTGATTTAATTGTAGTATTTTTTACAGTTTTTATAGAAATCATTTTTTTTTAAATAAGTCGCAGAGAAAACAAAATAGTATAACGCACTAATACCCCAATAATGTGTACACTGTACAGTGAATTCAGTATTGAAAAAATATCTGCTCATCACTACTAATGACTATTGTTTATTGGGGTTTCCATAGATTGGTATATATTATATTATATTTAGAACCATAATCATAATTTGTTGAGGTGGAATAGCCAATTGGGATTGTGGCATATTATTATATTTTATTAGGTATAAAAAATTTATTTGGGACCAATGATTATTTACAATTAATACCTAATAATTATAGTATTATTTAAATTTATGCGGGAAATGTTGGTAAATTATCATATTATGCATATATATTAGAACCTTATTTATAAAACCGTGATTTACCAATTTTAAGGTTATACACATATAGTATTTTACATTTTTGTATCGGAACCACGGACTAAGATATACAGGACTGGTCACGACAAGGTTGGAGGGTGTGGGGGGTTGACTACGAAATGTTTTACAACAGGCAGTGTTCGGGGGGATATTTTCCTTTTAGCATTACTAGCGCCGTCTTAGTGGATACTTTTGGAACTAGATGACAATAATGTGATTTAGTTCCATAAGTATCCACTAAGACGGCGCTAGAAATGCTAAAAGGAAAATATCCCCCCGAACTCCGCCTGTTGTAAAACATTTCGTAACCACAATATTCATCTCGTGTCCAGTCCTGTATATCTTAGTCCGTGATCGGAACTATGATATCGGTAGTTGATACTTGATACTACGATAATATTACTGGCTAATATCGATACATAAATATCGATATATCGGTTAGGAATATCAATATTTTAAAATATCGATATATTTTGCCCATCAGTGTGCGCCAGACGTTGTTTGTGCGGTCGTCTCCCTGTCGGTTTGTGTGAAGAGCGAGGCCGAAGAGTGAATATTGTGTCAATAAAGTTATTTAATACTAATTGAAAAGTGCGTTTCTTATTTCTACTAGTATAGTGTTGTGTGTTGATTTGGCGTTGAAGAAGAGGCGATAACACGATATACAACGTTTAAGTCGTTAATTGTTAGGATCATATATTTAGTCACCACATCTTCAATATTCTAAATTCTTATTTGCTTAAAGAATTTTTCCACTTTATTAATGCCTAATGGTTCACTTCTTAATGGTTTGGTAAAAAAGGTATCAATTTTCACAAATTGTCTTCCTAATAGAAGAACCGACTTCTATAGATCTTGACTATAGCAAATATTTACAATTTTAATAATTATAAATATATTTTCTATTTTCAAACCAACATATGAATTAGGAGTATAATGGGTTTTAATTGGAATTTTATTTAATAATAGTATTTAATATTGAGGATAAGAAGATCCGTCTATTAGAGGACCGTCACTATGCAATAATTGAAAGTTCTGGTTAAAATCATTTTCATTTTCAAGTTTATCTACTAAGATGTTGGGTATAAATAATTGTTTCTCACACCTTATATTTTGTCAAAACGAACCGGTATTTACGGCCCGCAGTATACTTAATATACAGTGCCGTCCTAACTACCAGTAACGCACTAGCACAATAATATTTGATGCCCCTCGCACTCCCACAAAACAAAATATTTACTTCATATTTTTAATAAACCTCTTACCTTAAATATGTTTAATGCTTATTCATTAAAGGTTCCTACTTATTTTTTTTTTTTATTATTGTAATCTTATTTAAATAAATATATTTAATTTGTTTTTATGATTTTTTGAAGTTGAAACTGATTTCATTATTCTGATTACATTATAGAAAGAAATATATTATCACTATTTCCACATAACAGTATATTCAAATTATAAAAAATCTTTTTATTCATTAAGGTACATATAATTATGAGTTATTTATAAAATATTTATATAAATATTCAAAATACTTTATACCTTTTATGTTTATAAGAACAACTAGTTAATTTTAATAATTATAAATGTTTTAATAATTTTATAACAGGTAGATATAATATTTTACAATATGTCCAACATTTGAACATAATGTATAAAACTTATTTGGGTTATAAAAAAGATGTTTTCCTAGCTTTAAGTTTTGCAAACTTTTCAACAATATCATTCCAATCTATGCTTCGGTCAACTTCATCTTCAATGTTTAAAATAGATAATGCCGATGTTTTTTCATTTGCCAAAGATGAACGTAAATAATTCTTAACCCTCTTGAGTACAGAGAAAGATCTTTCACCACTCGCGTTAGAGCATGGCATACAAAAAAAAAATTGTAAGGGCAATTTCAACATTAGGGAAAGTCATATTAAGTGATGGAGTATTAAGGTAATTTAACATACCTTGCATGTTCTTCATAGCTTCTGGTAAATTTGAAATATGTTTTTTGAATTGAATAATTCTGTTTTTAAATCTTCAGGGTACATTCTTACTAGTTCTAATGCTTGTTTTCTTATATCATAAGACTTCATTTTTTTCAACTTCACTAAAAAAAACAAATTTATTATACAATTCTGTATACGCTATATTTCTTTTCTTGAGTTTCGTGATCAATGAGTCCATGATTGGAAGAAATGTTTCATTTTAATCATTTTGTCTTTACTAGAATATAGTATTTCACCTTCCAAACTTTCATCAAAACAATTTTTTCTTCCTTTTTTTTTTTACCTTGTCCCCGGAAAATGTAATCAATACCACTTAATTGTTGAGCTTAATCTAAAAATATTTCAAAGTTATTTCTTTGGTCATACACATAATGTAATAATGAATCATATAAAGAAACAACATTTGATAAATCAATATTGACTGATTGAAGACTTTTTGATGTTTTATCGAATCGTTCTACGATAGGTGTCCAAGTAATTAAGAGAAGTACAAATTCTAAAGATTTAATTTTATCATATATTGATTTTTATTTATGTTTTGTTACATTTTTTTGATTTATGTCTGTTGATAAAAACTTCAAAGCAGAAAGAATACCAGCATAGCCAACTTTTATTGATTTACAAACTGAATAATGCGATGACCAACGTGTAGGACATAAGTTTTTTGGTAATTTAGCATTGGGGATTTTATTCAATTCTTTTGATAAAATACTCCATCGTGAAGTAGAAACAGAAAAAAAATTATATATATTTTGAGTAGTAAGAAAGAAATTATTTCCTACATTAGTAAGTTCAGCAGCAAATGTACCAACTAAATTTAAGGAGTGTGCTGAACAAGGCACAAATTCTGCTGTTTTTTATTTTTTTTTTTTTTATTCTAGCTTGTAAACCGTTGTACGTACACGCCTGGCATATTGTTCGCATTATCAAATGATTGTCCCCTACAATTTGTTATATCAATACTCAAACTTTCAAACATATTTGATAATGCTAATTCCATTTCTTGTCCCTTATGGCCAAGTGATGGAAGAAATCCTATGAATCTTTCCGGGCACATACAGTTCTCCTACAGATAGATAAGAATTTAGTAGTGGGAGTTCAAAATTTAAACGATACCAACTTCTGTTTTTTAAAAAAATGATATAAAGAAATATCGTATTATTGTACCTGTAATGACTGTCTGGGTAAAAAATGTTATTTTAATATTATTAATTATAATTTATAATAGAACCTATAAATTACTTAACATTTAATATTTTAATTATTAAATAATTTATAATTTGTATACAAAATGGATCATAACTATAATCTACAAAGTATGTATTTATTTTCATTTTATTAATTTATCATTTAAATAAAATTATATTTGTTTTCTAGTTCCCAAGAGAATATTCTACTTTATAATAGTGACGACGAGGAAGACTTTGATGGTAATTGTTGAGCATAAAATTCTAATGATCTATTTATTTTTATTTAAAATATAATACCATTTGTTTTCTAGTTCCCCAGGAGGATGTTCAATTAAGTGATGGGGATGATGAAATTGATGGTAAAGTTCAAAGTTTAAATTATTAATGATCTTGTTCTCTGATCTCTATAATATTCACTATTGATTGCAATATTATTTATGTTTATATTATAGAAGGCCAGTAATCTTTAATGTGCCACAGCAAGCTCCTGAAACCTAATTTACTGTGCCTGGGATCCGTCTCAATTCTTTAGTATATATGGATAACATTGGGTATAAATACTATAAGAATATAAGTCGTAACAAAAAAATGTGAGTACTCATCATAGTTTATTACGATTATAGATTTTATGAATTTCTAACAAACATAATATTTTAATTAGTTACTTAGTATGTGAAAATCAAAAGAATAATGCTGAATTCTGCCCATCGACAGTAATAGTCAGTGTGGATATAAATGAGAATTGGTTAAGATCAAATATAAGACACAACCATTTTCCACCTATTGTGGACATTCCAGTGGCCCATTTGAGGAGGAGTATTGGCATTGCAGGCACAACTACTGGAAGACAGTCAAACTCAATCAGACATATCTATAATAATGAAATAGTTGAGTAAGTACAATTTTGTATGATTTATGAACAATAACTATGAAATTAATAACCATACAAATCCTTTTATTTTTACTCGATATGATTAATCATATTAATATAATATATTTTGTATATGTTATAGAAACCCTGATAGAGCAAAAAATTACACATTTTTACAATGCCAATCAAGGGTACGGAGAATGCGACAATGTCGTCGTCCACAAAGTGTCGATACAATTGAAGAACTCTCGAACATTCTGAGTCTGGAACAAAATAAATCTTACTCATCAACCTTGCAGCGTCCACCATCAAGGTACATTTTTTGAATGCCAAACTATTAATTAACAAATACATTAATTAAATGTTAATATCTATTGCTTACTAATTTTTGTTTAGATTTTTCCAAGAAACATTTGAAGTTGTTGGCGTAATTTTTTTCAATTTAGACGCCATTCAAAAATATCAGCATGAACTTTTATCCGTCAACATTGCAGGAGTGGACGGAACGTTTAAAACAGGGCCTAAACGTCCTCCTCAATTTAACAAAGGCTGCCTTCTGACATTTCATGTACTATTTAAAAATGTAGTAAGTTTATGATTACAAGTAATTATTTTGTAAGTAATTGGTCAGCTCTTTTTTTGGTGTCTAGTCTAGTGTGTCCAATTTTATTTACATTCATACCTTATTTAATATTTTATGATCCAATACCTAACTTAATTTTATCAAGTCTTTTCCAATGGTAGGTATATGCATTAACATCGAAAATGACCGATGCAGCATATAAGTCATTTTTTAGAGTAGTTAGAAGAGTACTACCATTAAATTATGCACAAATCACTATTATTACGGATTATGAAAGAGCTTTAATGACCGCCGTAAAAAGTGTTTTTCTTGAAAGTAAACTTCGTGGTTGCTGGTTCCACTTCTGCCAAGTAATGTCATGTTAAGTCCTTATGCTTCCTGTAACAATTATAATTATAATTATTTTTTATCTAGTCCGTTATCCGATACTGCCGAAGGAGTTTAAATAGTGTATTCCACTTATTCCAAAATAACCCTGAAGCTAATAGAGTTCTGCGTATGGTAATATTATCTTATTCTAGTTATTATGTTTAAGGCACTTAAATTTATGTACCTAATTCATACTTTTAAATTTGAATGATCAATCATTTTTAGGTTTTAGCATTGCCACATCTTCCTGCAGAAATGAATATGTAAACCAGTATGACCATATTTCGGAACGCCTTCATAATTTTTTAATTGGTTAAATTCAACGTTTTTGGTTTGATCAAATAGGTTCAGCAAGTACTACTGTTTTTGGGTAATTTATATTTAATAAATAAGGATAATCATTTTAAATTGCCGAAAATAAATGTTCATTTACATTGTATGTTTTAAGATCAGACATTCGAACCAACAACTATTTGGAATCGTTTCATAGAACCTTACTAAGCCAAATAGGAAGACACCCCAATATTTGGGATTATTTACGTAAACATAATCCTAAATATCAGCGTTGGTGAATTATTTATATTTGTTTGTGTTGTATTTCACCTAAGCGGAATAATTTTTCATATGTACCAATTATTTGTATTAATTAAAACTATATTATTATTATGTTAGTAAGACTATTGTTGATTGAAAACCAGTACTACGTAGAAATGGACCAAGCTCGGAGAAATCATTCAATACGAAATAGTGTAACTCGAGTTAATCGAGCTGATGCTACATATCGAATTAAGAACTATATTCAAATATTAGATGAGGACAATGATATTTTAATGTTCTTAAGAAGAGCCGGCCATACCATGGATGGATACAATCAAGGGCAAGTTGGACCTCGTCCATTGGTGTGTTATCATTTACAAAATATCCATGTACCTAAGTTTTATTAATTTGAATTATTTGCATTACATTTTTAAATTTAAGGAACCGTGATTAATTAATGAATTTGGAGACATTTCAAGTATTTCAAGTTTTAATTTTAACTAATGGTTCTGTATGTAGTTATTTATTAATTAAGCTTAGACACAATTATTGTGATTTTTATTATGACCTAACCTATCTAGGTACTTATTTAGTATTATTATTAATTATTTTATGTTTTACTTTTTGAAATATTTTTGACGGGTTTTATTTTGACTAAGAGGGCTACAGCCCAGTAATCCTCAAAAAAATAATGTTTTTGATTGTTATATTTTTTTTTAAATGATTTTTTTTAATGACTGAGCGAAGAGCAATGGATGCATTGATTTTACAATTATCTATTTTTTTTGTATCTGTATACACAGGCGCAGCTCTACACTGGAGCAAGTGCTCCCACAATATTAGATTTATATTGAGCATTTTATTAAATACTATAATATATAATATAATACAATCATTATTATTTTTTATTATTTACATTCATTTAATACTAATAACTTATAACCTATGCATCATTGTTAGTAACAAAGCTACTATTGACTTAAATATTTGTATTTTATTTTTGAAAAATGTAGGTGCCTTATTGCCAAATCTTAGAAAATAAAATGGAATTAAAACCTGACAGTCATTGTTATTTTCAAGTGCAAGGCCAACCGCCAAATGCACATTTGTCAAAAAAAATTTTGTTAGGTATTTTGTTTGTACACTCGGCTAATTGGACTAAAATTCAGAAAATTGTATACGATAAGGCATTTTGGTCACAAAAAATGGTTAAAAAATTAGAAGCTTGAGAAACACAGAGATCAAATAATAAGTATGGCTATTCTCACATACCTACTTAAACATTCGTTTTCACCATGCTGCTGCGACAACAGAAAAAAAAAATAACATTTCTATGAGGAAAAAATTTACCAAAATTGTTTTATTTCGGAATGAGTAGCGAAAAAAAGTGTACAATTAATTACGTGTTATAAATACTTAATTAAATAAATCAAATATTTATATGGCTAATGGCTATACAATTAACATGCATTATTATATTTTAGTCTAGCTACACCTACACCTCTTAAAATTATCACTTGATCTAGACTGCAGACAAATATATATTATGTCTAGACTATGTTTTATAACAATTTATTAGTTTTGTCTATTATTAATATCTCATATTTTTTTATATACATAGGTATAAAAATTTGATTTATTGTGTTAAAAATATTAAAAATACCTGTTTAAAAGTAAAGACAAAAAAAATATTCAATTTCTACGAAAAAAGTTGGAAATATGCATAAATATGTGCAAAAAACCTTTAAAAAATTAATCCAGACACCATGAAAAAAATTTGTAACAAATCCGATTTATTCTATTTGCTTTCCGAAGTTCTGAATAAATATTTAATATGCAAATGCATAGATTCCTGAGCCCTAATAATTAATAATATTGCCATTAGATTATAATTACTACAGTAGTTATTTACTATTGTATCAGAGCAATAATTATTTATCATTATAATATTATTATAGTATTACGCTATTATATTTATTAAGTCTTATAATATTATGTGGTAAGTGTTAATAACAATGTTTTTGGTCGCAAGGAATGGTATCACTGCTGGCACGATAGGAATGACCGCACCACCAACCCGCATCCCACCTGGATGCTCCGTCTATGAGTATAAGGTCTATGGTCATAGTACCATGGTACCATTCTGATCTGTGGTAGTATTGATACTACTATCAATCGTGTTTTCATCATAATATCCATGACAAAATATATCAATAGTCATGTTTTCGTGCTTAACCAAAATATGTAACCTGGTTACATTATATGATTATATTATATTATCATTTGATTAATTTTTGGTAACAACTTTTGGTTTCAGGTACCTAACTGATAATGTGTAACCATCAAAATGAAATGGTTAAAGCAGTTATAGGTATTCATAGACTAAAAACAAAATAAACATAACATAACAAGTAACAAGATATTTTTGTGATGAATTAAGTTTGCTAATTAATTATTATTTTAAAATGTTATTTAGTACCAATTTACTGTACAATTAAAGTAAAATAACATTATGAAGGAAATGAGTACCCTAACTATTACTATAAATTATAATGTATTTTCAAAATGGCCACCATGATTTGTTACACATTTTTCGTATCGTTGTAATATTGACGCAGTTACTGAATTCAACATTTGTACTGTTATGGCCTTGCATGCTACTGTGATGCGCTCTTTCAAATTATCCAATGAAGTAGATTGTTCAGTGTAAACATGATCTTTTAAATATCCTCATAAAAAAAAATCCAATGGAGTAAGATCTGGAGAACGTGGTGGCCATTTCACAGGACCGTTTGTTCCTGTCCATCGCAACGGAAAACTATGGTTCAAATAATTTCTAACCACATTAGCATTATGTGGAGGGGTACCATCTTGCTGTAACCACATAGATTCCCGAATATAAAGAGGGACATTTTCCTGCAATGATGGCAAAATGTTTTCCAGAAAATCCAAATAACGCTGACCAGTTAATGTTCCTTCATAAAAGTAAGGACCAATTAATGTATTATTTAATGTACCACACCATACATTTGTGGACCATCGAACTTGGGACTTTGTTTCTCTTGTCCAAAATGGATTTGAATCATTCCAATAATGTGCATTATGGCGATTTACCATGCCGTTATTATTGAAACAACTTTCGTCAGTCCACAATATTTTGTTCAAAATATTTTTATCCTGGTCATATAAGCTAACTATTAATGATATGAATTGGAGTCTTCTTTCTGGATCCGACGGTTTCAACCCTTGAACGCAATGCAATTTGAACGGGTGATATAAATTGTTTTTTAATATCCGATGTACAGTTGATTTACTGATATCTGTTTGCCGAGCTATGGATCTTATTGATGCATGTGGTGTGGTACAAAATGCAGCTAAAACATCAACATTATGAGAATCATCTGCAGCAGTGTAATGTTTTTTCAACCTACAGCCATTTGGAAAGCTACCTGTACAACAATTTTTATTTTTAGTTTATTTGGTAAATTATTTTTAAAAATGTTAATGCAGTAGTTACAGATGTAATTATTGTCTAAACGATACCTATTAATTCAATTTTATGTTTATTATACATATAATATTTCATTTTATTTTCTATTATATTATAGACTAAATTGTATTTTTTTTTTTTTTTTAAATAAAATCATGTTGGTCTTTATTTAATATTTTTTTTAGTTTTTTACAAAATATCTGCTACAATAAATTGTAATATTAATTCCATGATAATATTTGATGAAATTTTTTCTGAATGATACTTATTAATTCAAATTCATGTTTATACATTTAATATGTAGTTTTATTTTCTATTATATTATAGACTAAATTGTATTTTTATTTTTATTTTTTTAATAAAATCATGTTGCTCTCAATTTAATATGTTTTTAGTTTTTACAAAATATCTGCTACGAAAGATTGTAATTTGTAGGTACCTACTAACTGAATTCTACCTGTTTGACGCAATGTTTTTTCAATGTTGATAAATGTAGCCCGTGAAGGTTGTCTTCGTTCTGGAAATTTTTCTAAATATTTACGAGAGGTATTTAATGAACTTTTACAACATTCGTAAAAAATAGTCAACATTTCAGAATACTCTGCATTACTATAAATAGCAGGCATGATGCAATTAATTTTAATTAGGTACCAAATAAAATAAGTTCTTAAAGTCTCATTAGAAAATCAAATTAATAAAAGACAAAATGCAGTTTAAAAAAAAACTGGATTTCCAAAACCAAGATGTGAAACTTATCTGATCTTGATAGCTATATTATAAATAGTATATTTATTAGTTTTATCTAACTAGGAATTTTGACACTCAGTGTGATGTACACATGTTTTTATAGTATTTCTTGTTCCATATCTTGTTTGATACTTGCATTGAAAGGTACACATTTCTTAGTTTCTACACACTTTCTTTGTTGATTATTTAACATTTAATTTAAAGTAGACTTTCTAAAAAATGGAAGTTTTTGAAGATGTTGGTGCATTATATAGTGAATATGTAAAAAATAATGGAGATGATGCTATTACAGAGTTGGAATTTTTCAAGTCGGCATTTAAAGATGCAATAATTGAAATGGATAATATGATACAGGATGTAAAAATTGAAATTAACATGCACATCAATTTTATTTGTATTCTGAAAATAATAATAAAAAACAATAATACACACATTTACAGCAATACCATACGTTAAGTGAGCAATTTAAAAATAAAAAAGTCGAAAGCAGTTACTATGCTGAAGATGTGATACAACTTCAAACTGATATTAAGTCACTCACTGAAGAACTTGTAAGTGACCAAATTATAATAAATAAGGCAGTGAAGTTATAGCATTTTCATACTTTTTTGTAGATACTTAATATACATATTCATTGCTAAATGAGCCTAAAATATGATTCAGTTAACTATGATTTTATGTTTTTATTGAAATAAATGCTACTTTGGCCATTTTTTTTTCTTTTAGTGCAATAATTCAATCATTTGTTGAGTTTTTTAATGCAATAACTTCACTGCCGCAATAATAAATAATGAAACAAATTACATAGTTAATATACAAGTTATTAACAAAACACAATATTATTAGGTCACATTAAAAACTCAAGAGAAGTCATACAAAGAAAAATATGTATGTTGAAAAATAAAAAAAAAACATACTTAATAATAATTAATAATAAGTTACAATTTTTTTTTTTTTATATATATTACTAGCTGATCCCGTGCACTTTGTTGCCCGTTAAATGTATCAACTCTATACGACACAAACTTTGTTCAATTCGTTATTTAATATTCTGTGTATGGTGTTCAAAATTTATCTTAACTTTTCCGTTGCCTGGAATAAAAATTCTGATTCGCAGCAGTATATTATCAGGTAGGCAATCTACCTGCAGTAGATGTTTGTACGTAAGTGTATGATTTAACTCTAAAGTATCAAAGTTATACCAAGTTTGTCGTTTTCACTTATTCAACCTACGATGGATTAATATAATCAATTTATACAAAATCCTTTCCTAACCTAACCGTACTAAATCCGATGAATAAAAAAAACAAATTTATCCCTTTGTAAATTAACCTATCTTCTTCCCAGAGGTCTAATCTACCCACAAAAATTAATTTTTATATATATATATATATATATCTAACTATATAAAAACAGAGACTATAACTATACTGACTAAACTCTGGAACTACTTATCAGATCTTCTTGTATATTATATTATATATATTATGTATACTGACAAAAAATAATAATACAAATCAACAAACATGCCCGATTAACCAATAGCAACCTAAAATTTTCTTTCATAATAAACCTTCGCCGTGAAATACTCTTTCGTTAAAAAAAGAAAAATCAAGAAGTTCTGATAAGTAGTTCCAGAGTTCAGCCTGTACAGAGATTTTCATTTCATTTCATTTTTATAGTTTGATATTATATTATAATTTATATTTAAAATGTAAAGCAAATAGTTTTTATTTATTATTATAACTAAAAACATATGGCAACCATTTATAAACAAAAATGTCCATATGAAATCTCAAAATTCCCGTTTGAGCACCTCCCGGGGTTGGTCCTCTCCCTTGTTAAATTAGCCTATCTTTTAAGTTTGACCAAATGTGACATAGTGTAAAAGTTTCATCAAAATCGGTTAAGTGGTTTAGGAGTCCATTGAGGACAAACATTGTGACACGAGATTTATATATATTAAGATAGGCTATACCAGAGTAGGTAACATAATTTACTTGCTGGATGAATAGTTGTCATAATTACAGTGATAATTTAAGTCCAACACATGTGGTGGTCACTGGTCAGTAATTTTCGAACAATGTTACTTTGTATACTTATAATTGACATAGATACCTATTACGCATAACGTATAACGAAAACCAAACATTTTTTGACAAACATTAAAAAAAGAATAACGTACAATATGGTAAAATATACTACATGCGTAAATGCGTTATGTGCAAAACTCGATCAGATGATTGGTGTCTATGAACTGAAGTATGAACCTCCGAAAAACATTAAAACGTTTACTCGCACCAACTTGATGTTAGACCCCAGGTTATCTGTATTATGAAAACGAATACCAGATAACCGATAATCACTTTTGATAAAACCACAGATTAAAAGTTAGTTATCTCCGGTTCTTTTGACATCTGGTTGTTACTGTTGGGTTTGATAAATTGCCCAGTAGCAGTAAATTGAACGAATATTTAAACGCAAATAAGTCGCTAACGGATTACTCAAATTAAATACTGTAAACGTTAAGTCAATTTTTTTCAATATGTTTATAAATTGGCTATTTTGAATTTTTTTATTTTCTGTACAAAAAAATAAAAATAAAAAAGTTTATATTATACGTATAGTGCAATAGTCAATTAAATATATATAACAAAAAAAAAAAGAAAAAATATTGATGAGAATACAAGTTATTTCATTTGTCAGAACTTCGTGGGACACCCTGTATAGAACCATATTTATTGTGAAATATTACCTAATGTATTGTCTAAGTTATAATGAATATTAATACATTTATTTGTGTTATAAATATAAAAATGTAATGCTTAAGAACTATTCAACTATGTACAGTGATGCATTTAGACCGTTTGCACCCCGGTGCAAAAAAAAAATTGGCACCCTTAAGAGGCCTAACCACTGGAAATATAGGAGATCTTAAATCGTTTTTCCTCAAAAAACAACACATATTATCCTGAATAGTTTTAGGTTAGCGCCATATAATTCGTTGTAGTGTTGTAAAGTGTTTAAATGTCTTTTTTTTATAAACCATTATCCTTATAATTATACAATTATGTATGTATCAGTAAGTATATTACCAAGATGGTTTTTGCATACTACCTAAACATCATTGTCAATTGTACATTAATATTTCATTGAATGATTACTAATAACGGTTACTTTTTAAATGATTATTGGATACTGTAAAATATGATTAGTAACGATAAAAACATTCCTTTATAGCTTATAGAATTGTATATTTTTTAATTGAGTTTCAGCATGAATAGCGGATTTCAATGCATATGTTACAAAATTAATTTGATGACAAGAATAAATCATTTATCCATTCCAGCTGTCTACATTTACTGTCAAAGCATTATGATCTATGACAAGAAATCATCGTTGAATCTGTTTTCAAACACAATACTGTTGTCTGTTGTATCCTTTTCACATTTTAGATTTAATACATAAGATTATAATTATGAACCAAATTTGTATTGTTCAAGGCAACACATTTACATGTGTTGTTACCTAAGTTGAATAAAATGTTATTATTAAAACATATGACGTATAATGATAATAACTAGGGCTCGGATTTATATTGTATTTATATAACCAAAGTAGGTATTCATACAACAAAAATATGTGCCAAAGAATTCAAAAGATGTATTATCAAAAAAAAAAATATATTAATAATTAATAATATAAACTCAAGACGAAATCCAACTCAATACCAGAGGCAAGATACACGGATTCTCTATAATCGGAGCCACATCCCACCGCTCCTACGGAATAGCAACTTACGCCAGGAATAACCTTGATGAAGTCAAGCTTGAAAGCGTATTAACCCTACACGACATCCATATTGTCAAAGTCAATGTCGGACCAATCACAATTATTAACGTATACAAACCACCAACTATCATGTGGCCAGACCATGTCCTAGGAGACATCTCTCATCCAACAATAGTTATTGGTGACTTTAACAGCCACCACGTGAATTGTAAGTATTCCAGTAACAATATAAATGGAGAGATGCTCGTATCATGGGCTGAAACTAATAACGCTCATTTAGTTTTCGATGCTAAATCAAAAGGCACATTTAAGTCAGGTAGAGTATAATCCTGACCTCTGCTTTGTTTTAGTAACAACAAACAACTTACCCATGGCAGCTAATCGAACAGTTATGAAGGACTTCCCAAATAGGCCCATCGGCCTATCCTAATTGAAATCGGGCTTCAAATCCCACTAATTAGCTCCACACCTTACGCCAGATGGAACTTTAACAAAGCTGCATGGGAAGACTATGCAAAGGAACTAGACAAATGCATCCGGTTTATCCCACCTAAACGTTCGAACTGCAATAGATTTTTGGGACTCATCATTGCTATTGCAAAAAACATATTATGCCAAGAGGCTATGGGAAAGATTACATCCCCGGCTGGAACGAACTAAGCGAAAACCTATACCGAGAATACATGAACGGAAAAATTGATGTAGTGGACGACCTCTTAACTAGCCTTGATGAATCCAGGAAGGAAAAATAGAATAAAACAATGATAGCCCTTGATTTCAGACATTCTAATAGGGAAGCATGGAGCCTTCTCAAGAAATTGGGAGGTAAGCAACACACTAGACGTGTGGAAACATCAATATCACCTAACCAAGTTGCTAACCACATAGTAAATGTATCAACAATGCCTTCGAACAAGAGACACACAACTCAGATAAGAAAACGCTTTTGAGACCTTAAAAAATAATGCACCCATGAACTTTCTGCTCCTTACTCAGTAGCGGAAATTACCACAGCTCTAAAGGACTTAAAACCGGGGAAGGCTGCAGAGCCAGATGGAATGCACCCTTAATTTCTGATAAACTGTGGTCCTAACAACAGAAGATGGCTATCTAAATTTTACACTGACATCCAACAATCCAGTCCGCTGTCTCCAGAATTTAGAAAATCTAGAATAATTGATATCATCAAACCCGGGAAATCATACGATCGCCCAGAAAACTACCGACCAATAGCACTACTGAGCGTGTGCTATAAACTACTGGACAGAATAATCTACAATCGAATAAGCCCAATTATACTAAATATCATTCCGGTGGAAGCCGGGTTCAGGCCGGGCCGAAGCTGTTCCGGTCAAGTCCTCTCATTGACCACTTATATTAAGGCAGGCTTTCAAAACCGCCTAAAAACTTCAGCGGTATTTATCGACCTAACAGCTGTTTACGATACCGTTTGGAGACACGGCCTGTTGTACAAACTTCTTCAAACTATTCACTGCCGAAATACCGTCCAGCTAATTAACACTATGCTTACTAATAGATCATTTAAAGTTCACATGAATGATAAAATTAGCAACTCAAGAACATTAAATAACGGCCTAGCGCAAGGCTCGGTATTAGCACCTCTATTATTTAATGTCTATATAGCCGACCTCCCATTGACTCACTCCATTAAATTCGCATACGCTAATGACCTAGCTATCGTAACTCAACACAAAGACCTCAATGAAACAGAAAGGATACTCACAGACGATCTCATCACTCTAGGTAACTACTTCCATGCCTGGAGACTAAAACCTAACACCAGAAAAACAGAAGCGTCCTGTTTCTATCACAACAATAAACTTACTAGCGCTCAACTAAACATAACTTTCAACGGAGACGCTCTAAACCACAATTGTCACCCCAAATACCTTGGCATAACACTGGATCGCATACTCTCCTTAAAAACTCATCTCGAAAATACTGCCGCCAAACTTAGCTCCACAAATAATATAATAAATAAACTCTGCGGTACATCTTGGGGTACTTCGGCTCGCACACTGCGATGCTCGGCTCTTGGTTTGGTCTACCCAGTAGCTGAATACTGCTCATCCGTCTAGCCAAACAGAGCTCATGTGGCAAAAGTAGACACCCAACTAAACACTACCATGAGACTAATATCTGGTACAATAAAATCGACACCTACTCACTGGCTCCCAACATTAACAGCAATTTCCCCCCACCACTTCGCAGAGCGAGCGCCTTAGTTAAAGAGCTCTCAAAAATAAATCTCAATCATGAACTGCCCATTAATAATTTTATTGATGATGCGACCAATACACGATTGAAGTCTAGAAACCCCCCACCAAAAACAGCTAAGGACCTAATCAACGCAAACTTCGACATGATGACGCAATGGGAACAAACGTGGGCAGCCGCGACAGAAAACGACAACATCCTAGGTAACATCACCAGGACATATACCCGCCGGATTTGACCTACAGCGAAATCTGTGGTGCACACTTAATAGAATACGAACCTCGCACGGTAGATGTGCAGATTCCTTGCACAAATGGGGCATGAGAGACTCACCAGAATGTGACTGTGGAGCAGAGAAGCAGACCATCTATCACATAGCTTCTGTATGTCCTATCCACGCCTACCAAGGTCCCAGAATCGACTGCCTCACAACCCCTCCAAAATTTATTAAATGGCTGGAGGAACTAGAACTAGATCTCTAATACCTTATTGTTACCTTATTGATATTACTCATATTTTCTGATATTTTACTTGTTTATTTTTATTTTATTCATCTGTCATATATTAATTAAATTTACTGTACGTTACCATATTATAACTCTAATGCATGTAACCACAAACCATACGCTAAGTAAATAAATATACATATTGCCGAATAAACTAGTTTTAAACTCAAGGATAATTTGACAACTTTAACACCTGCGTCGGTACCTTTTGAAACCGACGGTATTCCTTTGATCCACCTCCTAGTCTCTACCGTGTACCTAACAGCTAAGGGATACTTTGTATATATACGAGTCTCCATCCATATCTAAATAAGAATTAGCTCAGGGCTAGTACGACGTACACACTTGTAAGTACTAACCACTAATCTCTCGGGTAGGTACTTATCGCTCTGTCCTCAAATTTCTATATTCAAATGTAAAACCATTATATTAATATTAACATTTAAATAAATTACTTATAAATTATAACGTTGTAACTTGTCACTCTGCAACCTTTTCTCCCACTCAACCATCAACGTCTTTGAACTCAAAATATAAGCATTAGTGAAGGATCACTACATTAATAACATTCATTTTTAAATTTTCAAATCCAAAAAATTGACAAAATTGTCATAAAATGTTAATAATAAAATAAATTGTAATAAAAATATGTATATTTATCTAGTTATCTAATTATCTTTATTACAGTTTATTAATAATAACATGCACTTTTAAATTTTAAAATTCAAAAGATCGTCTACTTTGAAGTTCTGTTGACAAATTAGCCAATTCATAAAGAACATCACACATAATAGCTAGATTTTTTAAAAATTCAGGACTTACTTGCCAATTTATTGTAGAGCCCTAAGTATTTATTTCTAGTTTTAGAATCTAAATCATTTGATGCAATTGAAAAATGATTACAAAGAGCTGGGAATATTTTCCATACAGCATTTACTGCTCTCCAGCTACTTGCAACCCAACGAACGCTAGGAACCCGGCATATTTTTAAAAATACCACTTCTAATTCACTGCAGATATTCTTTAACTCGATTCGATTTTTAGGTGACGCATTATACAAAACATAAAGTGAATCTAAAAATAGTTTAAAATGATTTGTGGCCACTATATCTTTAAGAGAATCACTTACTGCTAGTTCAAGTCGATGATTCATACAGTGCCAACTATAGATAAGTGGATATCTATCTTTAAGTCGCTTAGCAACACCATTCCTTTTTCCTAACAAGACACTAGCACCATCACTAAAAAAAGAAATCCAATGCTGTTTTAAATAGTTTTCATTGAGTCCAGAACTATGAAGACATTCAAGTAGTTGTTCAACAATATTTTCAGCAGTTTGGTTTTTTAACTCAACCAAATCCAAAAAAATGAAAATTGGATAATTATTGGATATAGAGACTTTTAAATAAATAACCATCCCACACAAAGCACTAACCAGTAACCGTTGTTGATTCGTCGATTAATATGGAGCATTTTACATTATTTTCAATTAATTTATCTTTAATTTTTTTAGAAATATGTTGAAATATATTAGTGTATGTGTATCTTGAATGAAGTGTACATAAGTTACTATAAGTATAAAAAAATCGCGAAAGAAAAAAAAAATCAATTAAATAACTTAGTGCAAAAAATCCCAAAAATAGATAGTATATCTTCAAAGTATTAATACAAATATTGATAGAGTTATCGAATTATCAATATACTTATGCGGAATTTAGATACAGTTTTTCCTAACGTAGATATTGCTCTACGTATGCTTTTATGTATGGCAATAGCTAATTGTTCAGCCGAGAGGTCTTGTTCTACGTTAACAGGTAAACTGCCATGGCTTTTTTTAATGTTTATAATATGTTGCTATGTGTACCATTTCTGGTACACGGCTGAACATTATTATCGAGCCACATGTACCATATAAGGTACATTCGATTCATTGACATTAGTTACACCGTGCGCCAAAATGGGTACACGTAAATGTGATTTTCCTATGAGTTATGTTTGTGTGGCCTCCTAGTAATGTTTTAGTAAAAATAGCGAAACAAATTTATAATTTTTTAACATTTTAATCAATATTTTTATTAATGACATGTTTTACTATAATATAACAATTAATTACAATATTTTTTTTTTATTTTTTTTTGTAACATAATCATTTTTTTTTAAATTTTATTTTGTAACATTTTATTTTTATTTTTTTTTGTATGCATGAATTCGAAAAAAACAATCCAAACAAAAATAGAAATCACATTTAGGACAAATCGTTGATACGCGAGAGGTTTTCTTTCTTGCTATCTGCGTTCCTGTATACAAAAATGTATTTATTTAATACAATAAAATATAACAATTATGTATAAGTATATTACCTTCTGTTCAAGAAATGTATTTGTAGCATTGATTACATCGACCTCTTTTTTTATTGTTTAACAACTTATGTTAATCAAATAATTCTGGAACTTCTGGAACACTGTTTGATTGCTGAATTAATCCATTAATAATGTCGTCTTTGAACTGGGTAATTGTCTTAGAATTTCCAGTGACTCCTTTATAAATACTAAAAGCATTCAATAATGATGTGTTGCAAATAATATCCATAGCAACTTTACGGTACCACTTCACACCTCTTCTTAGACAGCTACTATAAGATCCCATTTGATCAGTTAAATCGATGTATCCCTTACAACGGTTATAGTCGATAACAACTTTTGGTTTTATTTTAATTCCTCTTTTAGCCATGACTTCTTCCATCGTGTTTGAATGTTTTGTACTTATCATAAGAACATCTCTACGGTCTCTCCATTTTAGTACCATAATTTCGCGATCACTCTTTTTTGCAAATATTTCGCCCCGGTTAAGTTTTTTTTGTGTTACATCTTTAGGATTTCTTTTTCTATTTGATCTAAGAGTTCCTACTAAGTGTGTTTTCTGTTGCAATCATTTTTCCGCTAAATCAATGGAGTTATAACAATTATCTGCATACAATGTTCTACCGAAATCGAGATATGGTTCCATTAGTTCCATTACTACTTTACATGAAACTGAATCACCCATTGTCGCTTCTTTTCCTGCATATATTTTATATTTCGACGTATAAAAGTCCCGTGTACACAGCTTAAAGATTTTGACTCCATAACGATGACGTTTATTAGAAATATACTGTCGAAACGATAATCGACCCAAGTAAGGGACCATAGACTCATCGATACAAACTGACTCTTCAGGAATTACTGCACTATTGAACTTTTCGACGAGTAAATCAATCAATATTTGGATTTTGTATAATCTATCATTAGTAGGAGCTTTGTCATTATCAGAAATGTGTAACATACTCAAAATAATTTCAAACCTGTTTCGGGACATAAATTTTGGAATATTGCAAGAATATAATATAGAATTTTTCCAATAGTGAGCAATTGATGGCAGTTTCATCATGCCCATCCACATAGCAATACCAAAAAAGAGTTTAATTTCCTGCTCATTTGTGTCGACCCATTTTCTAATTCTAGCATGTCGAGATAAGCCTGCTGTGTTTTTTTTAGCATTAGCATACCTGTTTGTTTCAACCACTAACATGTCAATAATTTCTTTGTCAAAAAAAAGATAAAAAAAGTCAATAGGACTGGCATCAGACATAGTTTCAATTATATCTGGATTTATTCCAGTAGTATTTACATCAGGATTAAAAATTATATGACTATTTAGCCGTCCATTAGAAAAATCGTTATTCCAATTATTACCAATCGTATTAATAGTTACGTTACAATTATCCAATAATTCACGTTCGTAAATATTTTCGTCCGGTTCACTTTCCGAGGACCAGTTTGGATCAGCGTCAGTATCGTCGTAATCTTCCGAATATGAGTCCGAATTTGATTCCAGCATAGCTTCTATTTCTTGTCTATTCATTTTCGATTTCAATATTTTATAAATATACAAAATAAACAAAAGAATTTGAAATTGATACGAGGCAACACAACGCAATGAAATACAACCGTCTACTAAGACAAACCCGTGTGGCCGTGTATAGTTTGTTGATAGCCCGTATACGACATAAAATTGATATCAGAAATAATAAACAAGATATAAAGGGAAAAACCTAAAGAATAATAAAATAATTTCATGTCTAAATGAGCGATAAGATAATAGTTCCAAGACATGAACATTATGCGTACCATCTAGGAAGTACTTTACTAACATTTATTAAATTATTATTAGTCATAATGATTAAACTAATCGTGTACAGTTAATGGTGCACGTTGCTCTGCAGTATAAAATTAAGTGTAAGTTATAATGCAGAGCCGCGTGTACCATTTTTGGTACATGTAAAATAATTAATTTTTTAGTATAAATAATTACATAATAACCATTCAAATACTAATAGCATAAACTAAAAAGCTTATTTTATGATTATTGTGGGTATAGCGTATTGGACAAACATTGTAATAAATTGTATTAATTGCTTGGCAATACAACAGTGTACCATATATGGTACACATGGCAGTTAACCTTTAACGTGTAAAAAATTATTTGAGAGCAGTATGGAAGGAGATTAAATAAATTCATTGTTATTTCAATTACATTATGTAATAAATTTGAATTTATACTAACCAAGGAAAATTAACTGTTACTTTTAAATTGTACAGAATTAATACTACAGAATTGTATACAGAATTAAATCAATCATAATAAACAAAATTGTTGCTCGTAATAATATAATACTGGTGAATCAAACCAACCAATGTTAAACAATTTCAAAAACCAAAATGAATAATTAAAGTAATTTGATGTAATACAGATTTAAAATACAACAGGTCCTATAAATTGAATAAATCTCGAAGCAACAAAAAATATTATTGAATGCTAAAGAAATATTTTAATTTTTAAAAAATGTGTTTCGTCAAATTGTATTCTTTTAAATATTAAATTGTATTAAAAAATTGAATAGGTACAATCATTATATTTATTTAAAATTTAATCGGTGTATAAAGATTCGTAAAATATTAAATATATCATATTATACTAGAGTATTAATAAAATAGTTTTAATAATATTCAACATTTTACTTACGACTTTTGAGTGTTCAGTGTCGAGTTGTCGAGTCGTCGAGACTTCGAAATACGAGAGTCGAGACCAAATTGCAGAATGAATGTTGTCTAGGCAAGGCTCACCTTATTAAAACTATTCAACCTAGACAAACCACAAGCTCTTTACATATACAACCAAAAACTGCTGATAAATCACTAATACATATTATAGTATTTTGCATTATTTTCAATAATATTTTCAATTAATTTATCTTTAATTTTTTTAGAAATATGTTGAATTATATTAGTGTATGTGAATCTTGAATGAAGTGTACATTCAAGTTTAACACCATTTAGCATTTGTAACTCTATACGTTCAAAGTGGTCATCAAACGGACTGTTATACTTTGCTAAGTAATAAGCAGTACGAAAAATATTACATGTTGATCTATTTACATCAGTAATATTTTCCTCTAAAAGCTTAGGTAGGTTATTCATTTTTTTTTTCATTAAGTATTAAGCATGCAAACTCATGAGCTGTCGAAGAATAATGTTTTTTAAGTTTATTTCTTAAAATTGATAATCGAGTTTTTTGGTTTTCGCTCTTTCCTCCATCAATTTGGCATAGAGCCCATTCTTTTGATATTTCAATTTTTAGAGGTGTTTTAAATGTACTCACTTCTCTTTTTTTTTGTATAATGAAACCGGGATTTGAAGAACTGCATATAAAGGATCAAAAAATTGCTTATTATGGTTTATTAGGTGTAGTGATATTTTAAATCTTAATCATGAAATATTATGCAGGTATTCCTAATAAAAACACTGAGTAAAATTATTGAACACGAGTTATTACTTATCATAGAATTGTTACTTAATAAATGGTTTTTGAACTAGGTATATTATTTATAGAGCAAAATTATTTGAATAACATTATTTTAATTATTTTTGTTCTAAAATAAAATTTTTTTATTTATCATGCTGCCAAGGTACCGCTCCAACTGTAGAAAAATAATCAGAAAATGTATTTCTCATATCACTCGCTGATCGTGTGCCACGGTCAGAATATGTATTGTTTGCATCCCCAAATCCATCAATAGAGAGAGTATCTTGAAAATTAATTCCATTTTCTTCGCGTACATAATTGTGTAGAACGCAACACGCTTTTGTAATATCCACTGCTAATTCAGTTGTAACATTCATTGGTCGATGAAAAATTCTCCATTTATTAGATAGTATCCCAAAAGCACAATCGATTTACCTTCGCGCACGAGACAAACAATAATTAAATATACGCTTATTTTTTGTTAAATTTCTTCCTCCATAAAGACGTAAAACATGTTGAGAAATACCAAATGCCTCATCTCCTACAAAAACATAATCTACATTGATATCAGTGTTCAATATTGGACAACTTTCAGGAATGTTAAGTTCATTTTTTTGTAGCAGATGCCATAATGTAGAATTTTTAAAAATCGTCGAGTCTGAATCTTTACCAAATGATCCTATGTCGACGTATACAAATTTATAGTTAGAATCAACGATTGCTAGCAGGACAATTGAGAAGTAGTTTTTGTAGTTGAAATGTTGACTTCCAGTTCCTGTTGGTTTTACAACACGGATATGCTTCCCGTCTATCACTCCTAAACAATGAGGGAAATTAGCACGTTGTTCGAACTTGGCTGCCGTATCTTTCCACATCTCCTCTATCATAGATGGCATTTGGATATGAGCAAGTTCTTCCCATACTACATTACAAACTTCTCTAACAGTATTTCCTATCGTTGAAGCCCCTAGCTTGAATGAATAATGTAAATCTTGGAATGTACATTCGCTTGCTAGGTATCTGAAGTATGTAGTTATAAATTTAAAAAAAAGTGTTTAAGTTTATTATTTTAAAATTGTATACGGATCATAATTGTGCACGAAAAAGCGTTTGAAGTTCGAATATTGACGAAATTCGTCAAAATCTCGAATATTTGTAAACTAGTTTGTAGATAAAAATGTATAAAGTTTTAGTTTCTTAGCTGAGGGATGAATGTACTGATATTACAAAATGTGTGTTTTAACAGGAGATAATATCGAAAAAAAGTGGAAACACATTAAAGATGCGTACTTTCGATCAATTAAAGAAAATAAGTCTAAATCTGGGGATGGGGCGAGTAAGAAAAAAAAATATGTTTACTATGACCAACTAGGATTATCATGGTATGATCCATGATTACCAGGTAACGGGTATACTCATATCGACATGTATCTGTCTCCATGTAGTCCATGGAACTATGATATCAGCACAGAGCAAAACGCATGATAATATATTGATAGCAATTGATAGTAGACAAGTACTATAACCGTGCACAGAGTGCACAGAAGACAGCAGAACAATACAAAATAATATCTGTTAAAAATTAGTCTATTGTATCTAATCGTAAATGGGTATAGGGTAGATGAATACACTCCGGTATTTAAGTAGGTATGAGATAAGTGACAGTTATGATCCAATTGGAAATTACTTATGGCACTATGACAATCAGTTATTGTAACGAGTATGTGCTTTTGGTACAAAGTACAAAGATTATCACTATTATACCTTGGACTCGAATGTTATTACATTTAACTTCTGGTTTTTATATTTGATAAAGTGTATTATTATGACCAATGCGGCCATAAATACCGGCTATCATTTTCAGTGGGGTGAACTACGCAAAACCGTTAGCTAAATGAGTATTATAAAATACACTTTGGGGCAAAACTAAAGCTTACAGTACATTGTACTTGATAAATTAATTTGAAAAGTGTAATATCTTTTACCTCGGTATAAAAATCCTAGTGTATCTACTATCTACTGTCTAAGTGGTATTTACACACAAACACCACCTAAAACCATCAAACTTTGAGAGGCTATTGTTGTGAACCCCTGTCTGTATGCTATACGCAGTATGAGATAAAGTTATAGTATAATATAGAATAGTGTGTAAGCATATTAATGTGTGAACAGACAGAGTCACACGGACTAAGGGAATTCGCTGTGTGGACAGTTTTGAGCCCGAGCGAGCCCCTACCATGTCTCGCTGTCTGTGTAATAGACAGTGTAGAACTGGCAGACCATCGAGCAGAATCTCTGTTAAATTACTTAAGTCTAATAAGTATTCTGTACAACTAAATTTCTTTTAAAATTGATTATATTAATAAAGTATTAGTGATAACTCATACACCGCGTATTTCTTTATTAGAGAACAAACTCGGTTGTGGAGACGTCCATCATTTTTGGTGGCAGCGGTAGGATCCGTAGATTCCAGTTCGTTAAACAATAAGCTAGTAAATGTCGTGTGATTAGAAATAAGTCTAAATCTGGGGATGGGGCGAGTAAGAAAAAAAAAATATGTTTATCATGACTAACTAGGATTTCTTATTGAAACTATTCAACCTAGACAAACCACAAGCTCTTTACATATACAACCACAAACTGCTGATAAATCACTAATACGTTATGATTCTTCGGTTGAACTACCTGCGCAACATGTTGAATGACGTCCTAATCAAACAAAAAAAAAAAAACACTAAAAATGTTGAGGATAAATTCATGGAGTACTTGGAAAAAGCAACGAAACAAAAGAGTCAAAGTCACATTCAAGAAAAAGATGAACATGAGAAGTTTTTTGATTCGTTACTTTCTATTGTAAGACAATGATGATCAAAGTTTGATGTTTAGAGCAGAAGTTATCAAAAGGTACATAGAAAATAAAAAATGGCCCAACCAACTCTTCGGTTCAACATCAACAACCACGACCACTGTAGTATTTTAATGAATCACCATTAATTTGTTGTTATTATCTTATAACCTAACCGACGTCCGACAACCGTTAATCTACTCAACGTATTATTATGGTATGATCCATGGTTACCAGGTAACGGCGGCATAATAATATAATATTTATTAATAGCGGCCAACGATCGCATTTAATTTTGACGAATTCCCCATACATGTATTGACTATTTTGTGGTTTATCTAGCTATTTTTGAATTATTTCCCCCGATTTTCAGCCGTCGATCATCGCTTATTGTATATATATATATAATATTAATTATATTTTTAAATTGAATTATTCTTTCTAGCAAGGCACGGTCCCGAGTGTTGACGATCGATTATTATCATTGTTATTATTATTCAAATAGAATCCGTTATAAATAAATTAATTATGTTCCCTATACAATACTAAATGTATTATTTGTTATACTGTTATAGTTATTACAATAAATACCTACTTGCAGTCTGCAGTATTAATTTTGTGGTATGCCTATAATCTTATTATTAAGCCGCATTCCCACAACTGGTGTACTTGGCCAATCCTACTTGATAATTTTCCACTTCTCCGAGTTTTGAGGAATCTTAGAAATTATATATACAATGATAATGTGTTTATTTTTCATCTCAGTGGGTTTCCTATGGGCTATAACCTATAAAACCTATACCTACTAAAATAAAAATTGTTAAAAAATGTAAGGTTTTAAAATAAGATTTAAAAATATTATAACAGACATATTTTTAAAAGAAAAATGTTATTTAACAGAATCAGAATTCTGAACACGTTGATGGACAGTTTCGTGGCCGCAGTGGAAAAAAAACGATCTTTAAAACGTCAATTTTCATTACTGCTATGGCATTAGTGCATTAGTGTGGTCAACATTTATAATTCCAAGTACCTATCTAGTTTTCAAAATATATAAAAATGTAATAGGTAATTATTTCATTCAGATATTCAAGAAAAGTTTGTCATGGATTGTTACAAGTCTGAAGTGAACATTCTTTAATAATATGTGTGATTTTAATCTCTCCTATTGAACCTTTATATCAGCTGCATGACAATGTTCTTCTTAAAAATTTATGATTTTCGGTGTTTTCAAATCGGTACTTAATATTGCTGCACAATTCATTGATGATTTTTTTGAACATTTCCATCGAATGATACTTTGGCAATTTTTTTTTATATAATACCCGTGTAGCGCAATTTTATCATTTCCTATATTAGGTATTAGAAGTTCCATGGTTAAACACTAGCGTACAAATTGAAACTAAAATAAACTAAAATGAAACTGGATACCAGTAGCGGACTGGCCGGGTGTGCCACTATTCTATAGCACAGTGGGCCGGTACCAGATTGTAAGTGTTGGGCCGCTACTATGGCTAGTAATTATATCTATAATTTTTGTATTTGTATTTGTATTTGTATTTGTATTTTTTTGTTATTTTATAACAATATATTGGACGATTGGGGGGCGGCTATTGCCCATCACAAAAAACACAATATAGACACTAGTACACTACCATATAAAAGATACCAAAAACATAATATATAGATATAAATTAAAATTATATAATATGGACAATTAAAAATATTTTATTTCTGAAACATAAAACGTTATTGTCCTTTAACGTTAATTTTATGCCGTGTGGCGTGTATAGCAACGCATTTATAAAGTAGGTATAAATAATTAATTCAGATCGAATTAAACGACTATGGCCAATTTGACTATTTTATTCCAGTCAAATTAGACGAATAATTAGGCATTAGCTCGGAAAAATTAGCACCAAGCCGAATTTCGGTTTATATAGGATATTTATTTTGTAAGGTGATTGAAATTCGTATACGGCACGGTAGAACTGCCAGAAAATAACAAAATTATAGTGAATACAATATTATGAGTAATGAGTAGGTACTGTTCGTTAGCCAACGTGGTTGTTTTTAATTTTAGTAGAACTGCTGGGGTAGTAGAACTGCTTCTATTTTCTTCAACAGTATCTTGTTTGATTGAAAAGTGAATTTAGTTAGTGCATTCGAGAGGTCAAAAAATAAAATTTACAATAGTTTTCAAAAGCGCAAGGAAAAACCGGAATTTTTACGCCAAAAAGGTTTTTGTCAAAATCGACTTTGGTTTTTGGTATTATTCTAAAACAAATTACCGTAAATAGGTAAGGTTAGGTACATCAAATTTTTACTGAATGTTTATATCAGAATTTTCTATACACCATAACATTTTCAAGTTTTATTTTGAGCTGTTAACGGACATTTTCAGTTTCGATTTTTTTTAGTATTTTTTTTTCTATAAATATCAATAAAATTTTATTTGTTGGGTAAAAACTCTTGAAAATTTAATAGAAGGCTCTTAATATATTTTTTCAAAGGAAGATGAAAAATATTAAAAAATCGTCACAATTTTTTTTTTTTTTTAAGCATTTAAAGTTCAAATATTGACAAAATACGTAAAAAATTATTTTAGTTAGAAATTCATAAAAAATTTTATTTTTAAAACTCAGATTTGAAAATGTTATACAAGATTCATCATAATTTTGTCTACTTTTGTTAAAAAAAATTTCTACAAGAAAGTCAAATAAAATTTTTTATGAGCGACTGAAGTTCAAATATTTTCAACATTGGATATTAACTCTAACCTATCGATTTCCTTATTTTGTTGTAATTCAAAAATGAATAACTGTAAATTCATGAAAATTTCACTGAATATTTGTATTCTCATTTTCTATACACCATAAACATTTTAATAATATTTTGACTCATTTTGAGCTGTTTACGGACAATTTCAAATTTCAATTTGCTTAGTTTTTTTTTTATAAATATCAATCAAATTTTATTTTGAAGGCTAAACAGTGTGAAAATGTATTACAAGGCTCCTGATATATTGTTACAATAGCAGTTTAAAAATTTTAGAAATACATAGGTACAATTTTTTTTTTATAAGCATTTAAAGTTCGAATTTATCAACCCAATTTATTTTATAAATAAAATGACAAGTAAAGTGGAAATATCGTTTTAATCATATACTGCAACTTAAGACAGAATATAATAATACCTTTTTCTTTACTATTATATTGAAGACAATTTTCGTTTCTACTTGTCATATATTGGGTTGCATTTAAAAAGTTATGAACGTCAAAAGAACTTATAGGTATTTTTGGCATTGTCTTTCTCCTAGCATTGTATAAATTTCTTTTAGCATAATTTACATCTCTACACACATAGAAATCTGGTGTTGAATTTACAATAAAACGTGTCATTATTGAACACATTTGAGTGTAGATTTCCAGCTGGAGTCAGCTTGGTGTTGAAATACTATTAGCAAAAAGTTAAAGATAATTTAGCTTACCCAACAATTTTTGAGTGTAGAACCAGTCATTTACTAGGATCAATTTGACTTATTACTTGATTTGAGATAAGAATCCAATGGTGTTAGAACAACAGCAAACGTTCGTTATTATAAATAAAGATTACTTTTAAATACACACAAATTTGATGCTGGCTTGGCACTAGTTGTTGTTTGTATCACATTATAAATATTTCATTTTAATTTATAAATAATTGTTTATTCAACCATAACTGTTGTTCAATTTGTTTTACTTAAAGTTAATTTGACAATTGACACCACTAAATGTGCTTTTAGTGCTTTTTCTAGTGTAGAAATCTTTGTTAATATAACTACCTATGTAGTAAAATTTAGTTTACCGTAGTTGTTAAAGTGACACTAACTGGTCTTAACTGGTTAACAACTTGTTGTTAAAATTAAATACATAAATCATAAATTATATATTCAAATATTTTTTATTCAAATATAATATACATAATACAGATTATATACAATTTGTAGGTACATTAGGTAATGTAATAATAATATAAAAATCATTTTTAATAGGTACACAATACTAATTACAAAATTTGAAGGTCTACAACATACATCTTAGAGTTGCAAAAAGTTTTCCATTACCTAAAATTCTAGAAACTGTAGGTGTTGTATCTGCTAATTCTGTCACATAATATCCAATAAGTTGGAGTTAAAAATTTTATTTTCTACTTCATATGCTGAAAAATGTGGATCAAATCCAACTGTCAATAAACTATAAAGGCTTAACTACAAAATAAGGGATTCTTGTGCTATTTACTAACATTTTATGTATTTCCCCAAACAAACATTCTCCTGATATTACTTCTAGAACTAGTAGCATACCATTTTTGTATTCTATACCTTTATATTCCAACCATGTTGGAGAAAATGAATTACATTCAAATTCTGGGGGTAAATCAAATAAGTAGTTTGAATGGTCTTCATTAAAAGAACTAGAGCTAAATTTTAAAACTGGTTGTAAACCTGTATGAGATAAAAAACGATTAATCATCTGTAATTGTATTTTATGAGATAAAGTATGACCCAAGTTAATTCTACATGGTATTGCATTGGCTATTGCTTTTATAGTCTTATGTTTTGCCTCAAATCTTATACTAGATGTTAGTATAAGTGGTCCATTTTTTAGAAGTAGATGACCATAGTGTAATAAAAAATGGTATTTAAGTTTAAGAGTGCATTTTGATATTGACAAGTACAGTTCATTATGTTCAGAAACCAACTTATTTAATTGAACATGACACTCTGGTTGCAAACATCTAGAACAACATACATCTACTATTTTATAAAATACATTATACAAGTGCCAAACTTTATTTTTTCTTGGTACCAAATCGCCTATAATGAGGCCAAAATATCTAACAAGACACAACATTTCAGAAGCCGACATGATAAAACATCCATTTGTTAAATTAGTTGAACTTATTTTTGGAGGAGTATTTTTAATATCATTGACTCCATAATCAAAAAGTTCTAACCTATTATTCAAAACCTCAAGTGAAAAGAATTTTAAGTCGATAAGATTGCTTATGATAAGAGCCATATCATATCAGGCAACTCCTTCTGTTAAATCATGCATGAAGTCACATACTGAATTGTTTGTAACATGATAGCTGGGTACCTCGTTAAAAATACATAGTTCTTTTAACCCTGTTAATGAATAATTATTAGTATTAATATCAGTAGCGTAGTTTATTTCATTTCTAAGCGTTTCGGGGCATTCATTTATCATATTTTGGAGTTCAGATTTAGGAGATCGACAAATGCGGCAATAGAAATTTGAAGAAAAGCTTTCAACAAACCCTAAAATGGAATTAAGCCCTAAGTTTTCGCCTAGGACTAAACCTAGAGCAAAATAAATATGATGGATTTCAGAATTTACACAAATTGAAATTCCATTTGTCTGTAAATCAATTGATTCATCAATAAGAGCTCTATACATTTTATAATTATTTATTTTATGAGTTCCTCTATCATCTGAATGAAATAAATATGCTACAAAAATATTCTCTAATGATGATAAATATTCAGGAAGTAAGACAGGAACTGAAAAATATACACAACCCATCTTATGTATCCCTGAGTGTGACCCCAAGGGGTTACCCATTTCACAGTCATCGTAATATAAAAATAATGGAAAAACAGTTTTATTAGTAAATGAAGACCTAATCCTTTTCCAAGTAGTACCATTTAAAAAAGAAGTTAATACATTTGTAGTATTAATAGAGTCGTTAGTATAATTTAGAGCAGTTTCATATAAGTACATTAGGAAGTTCAAAAAAAGATTTTAAATTGGTTTTTAGTGAAAGTAAGTGTGCTTGAACAGGTACCATCTACATACCTTTCTACATCGGATTTTTTGTTTTGTATGGCCAACAACAATTGTTTTAGGCTTAAAAAAGATATTGTTGGTTTCAAAATATTTAACTCTTAAATATTCACTTTTAAAATCCATAAATGCATTTTCAAGAACCACAAACATATCATTTATTTCAGATTTTTCAGAACAATTAGTTAACAGAGGTAAAATACTACTTTTTAAAATTGATATAATATCATTTGAAAATAATTGACTGACTTCTTCAATTATATTTTGTATTAATAAGCTAGTTAAATTTGGTATTAAATATAAATTAGAAATAAATTTTAAGATAATATTTGTTACAACATCTTTAAAATTTGTACCATTTTTAGAATTTTGATTAAAAGTGTCTTCACTATCAGATATTGTAGATTTAACTTTGTGTTGGTCAAAAACATTTGTGTTTAGTTGATCAGTAAAAATTTCGTCAATATATTCATTGGAATGATTATTTAAAGTATCTAACATATGATTTCTTTTTAAATGTTGCCTAAATTTTTCCAATCCGAGTAAATCTCTAAAACAAATTGGTTGTTTACATGTAAACATAGACTGAGACCCTAAATCATGGAAAACTTTTAAATGCCAAATATAGAGATTGATAGTTGAAAATGTATTTTCTGTACATATAAAACAATTAAACATTTTAAAGTTTACAAATAAACTTAAAAAAGACTTATCATACTCAGTTTTGAAGTTATAAACTTGCAATTGAATCACCATCCATGTGTCATAGCACTCTTTAGGGTAGGCACAATGTAATGCAAAATACGATTTGAAACATGCGTCTACAGCTCTGATTGGACAGTCAAATGACCATAATTGTTCATTTAGTCTGACATAGGAAGTGTGAATAGAACTCAAATTCTGTCCAACTAAAACTATGTATGGCTGAATAGTTGCCCCAAACTGGCTATACTTAGTACGTTTTTTCCAAATTCTTCGTTTAATCCAGTAAAATTCTGTAAAGTTTAACTAAATTGTTTAATCTGGAAACATGTTAGTTTTTACTCATATTTGTTTTAATTTTATTGAGTATTTTATTAAGGAAAAAACATATTATATAATAGTAAAAATGAATTCTTATGAAAAATGTTTTATTCACTGAACAATTTTAGTATTGTAAAAGATTATGTTGATTTTAAGAAAAATAAAAAAATGTTTTTTTTTTTTTTTTTTAATATATTAACTAATAACAACGCTTTACCCTTAATAAAATATGTATCCATTATAATGGAATCTAAGTATCAATAATAATTCTATAAAATAATATTTAAATATATTTACTGTAACATGACAAATGAATCCTGCAGCTGACTCTTCCAATGAAGGTTTCCAATTTTTAGCACTTTTTGAACTTTTGATTTGTGTTTTAGTTGGTATGAAGTAAGGTAACAGTAATAACTTAATGATTTCAAATAATTTGAAATCTAAAACAAAATTAATTTTTTAATAAAACTTTATACAGTCTTGTCAACATTTTTTACTAATATTCTTACTTCCACTGACTTCAGAGCTATCCAACTGCACTAGCAGAAAACGGGCATATTTGTCTTTAATTGACCCCCTTCTCAATGTCACTAAAAATTTAGAAAAGTTTGACCAGACATGATAAAATGTATCCCAATTTTCTAAAACCTTGTACGAATCTGGATAGCCAATTTTGAAATCTTCATTAACCTAAGTTTAATTAATAAATATTATAAAAATTAATTTCTTGATAAATAATGAATAGTAATCTCACTAAAAAGTATCCATTGGGGCTTTGGATTAATGGCCACTCTTCAAATATTGCTGATAAATCTCGACACAAATTCAAAACATCAGCTTGACGGATTTGGTAGGTTTATTTCCATTTATCAATTAAAAATGCATCAAATGGTACAGATAACCCTTCACTTTTTAACCATAACTTTGAATTTTCAATATTTTCTATACAAAAATGAATCAAAATGTAAAATAGACTTTAATAGTTAATATTTTTATTTATAACCAGAAAAAAGATTGTGAATTGGAACGTCTTTCTTCACACGTTCATAATCTATTCCACCTAGGCTTCTTAATTTCCTGGCAACGTTTTTCCATCTTTCTACTAACTTTCCTTTGCTGTGTGTCTGACTGGAACCTTCACTCCTGGCAGTTACAAAGTAAATGGTCTATAAAAAAAAAATAAACATTTAAAAGGTTTTTATTTTAATGCAAAAAATGAATAGATATTGAATATAGTTATATACCTTTACTTCGTTGGGAAATATCTGTACAATTAACTCTGATATTTTTCTAAAATAAAAATCACTTCCTCTATAAACATGAAAAAAAAATGTGTTAAGTAGGTAGACAATGATTGTTAACAATAATTTGATAAAAATTATAAAGTTTTCAAGGAAAAAACACAATTTTTAGATAAAGAACAAAAATTAGCTGCAGATGAAGGAATTTTTGCTTATCATACTTGTAAACACAATCAAAGTCTCAATTCTATGGATTGTACTTCTCAATTAGTTAACACAATATATATCATCAATACTCCACGAATGGGGAATCGGAAGTAAAGTTATTGCTTTTTCTGCAGATAACACTAATTGTAACTTTGGTGGTGTAGCTCGAAATGGAAAAAATAATGTATTTTACAAACTTAAGGAGATTTTTAATAAAGATTTAATCAGAGTTGGCTGTGCTGCACATATACTTAACAATGCAGTACAAACAGCCGCAGACACATTACCAATTGATGTACCTACAGGTTATTATTGGAAACATTTTTCAACATTTTTATATTTACACAGTTCGAGTCTATGTCCTTAAAGAATTTTGTGAATTTGTAAATATTGAATACAAAACCGTGTTAGGACATTCTAAAACTCGCTGGTTGTCTTTATTTCCTGCTCTAACTCGACTCATAGATATGTTTGATGGTTTAAAATCATATTTTCTTTCAATTGACAAATGCCCAACATTAATAAAAGATTTTTTTAACAATGCATTATCATTTTTAATTTTAGTTTTTTTACAAATTCAATGTGAATTGTTTTTACAAGTATAAAAAGTGTGGAGGCCAGAGACATTTCAATAATTGAAGTTAAATATTATGTTGAGTCGATCACCAAAAAAATTGAATCTCGTAAAAATGAAAATTTTTTTACATCTAAAGAAAGAGAAGTATTAAATTCATTAAGAGATGAAGCAGTTGTAACGGGCTGTGACTACGTATATATTAATAATAGTAATAATATATAAGAAATATATTATATTATGTGGTATTAGGTGAAGTACGATTATAACATATTATATATATTATGTTCAATAATAGACGTAAATGCTACAGGGAGAGCGTAACCCCGGTAATAGTAATAATATCAGCATCCGAGCGGTACATCAAAGATAACTAATTAATGACGGCCACATCAATAAGAACACGTGATAGGTATAAGCGCGCAATTTCCATATTCTAGGAAAGACGAAAAAGCCATAAAACAGCACAAATAGATAACTTTGGAAACATATTATAATCCACAATTAACATTATTTCGTAGAGGAGGCCCGAAATGACGTCAGGTGTACGCGGCTATGTACCATTTTTATACTAAAAATAGAAGGGATCTATTAGGAAAACCGACAAGGTACGTCGATGGACAAGTGTCCATCAGACGACCACCAGCCGAGACGACGAGCACCAGCAGAGCAGCCCCCAAGTCGATACTAAGTCACATCTCGTTTATCACATTTTTATAAGTTAATTATTTGGACTTAGTCTATTTTATGTGTTAAATAAATACAACTGAACTATCATTATAAAATCAACTTGTTATTTAATTCAAAATACCATCAGAACTGAGTTGAAGTGGTTGGCACGTTACAAAATTGGCGCTGTGGACAGGGTGTCTCAAAAGGATACTTAGAAGAAACCGGAAGAACAATTAAAAAATTTTTTCGAAATTTTTGAAAATTTTCATCTTCTAAATTCAATCAAGGAGGAAAATTCATCACTGGATCACCGTTGGGAGATTGATCACTCCAGCAACTCCGAGAAAGAATCCTGTACAACTACGTAACACCCAACTACAATTAACATTTCAACCGAGCAAATGGAAGCACCCGCTGTACCAGCTGCGTTGTTGTAAGTATGCTTACGTAATTAATATCGTGGTGTTCGTCTCCTATACATGGCCATAGTATATAATAATAAGTGATGAAAATAGTCGTGTTAAATAATATAAGAAATTTTAGGAACTTTGAATTTTCGTTTCAACAAACCGAAATTGTGTTGAATTTTACCAGTGCTTTTAATAAAATAAATCGATAGATTTTCAAGGATTAAAATAAATAACATTTGAATAAAATAATAGTTTATTTTAAATAACGTCGAGAATTATTTTAAATAAATTAAAAATGTATTCAACTTTAAATTAAATTAAATAAAAATTTTATTTTCAGGTATTTCGATGGCTAGGAACTTATGGACCCATTGAGTGGCCACCACGATCACCTGACCTTACGCTACTAGTTTTTTTTTTATGGGGACACTTGAAAACAATAGTGTGTGCCGATCCTCCTATAAATCTTCAAAATTTAAAAGATAAGATAACAGCAGCATGCAATCAATTGACTGATGAACAAATTACTGCTGCAACAAATAAAGAATTTATGCGGCGCGCTGAATCATGTTTTTTTCACGGCGGAGAACAGTTTAAACTTTTTTTTTTTAATTTTAGATTTTTATTAACTAAATAAAATGGTAACCTAAATAAGAATTGAATTTGTTATTAATTATTAATACACTCTAATAGATCCATTAAATGTAAAGAAATAAACAACATACTAATTTACGTTTTTTCTGCTATAATAAGTTATGATTTATACACAAATTAAAGAGAAAACTATTCAGTAATTGAAGTTAAAATAAAGTATGAATATCCTAGAAGTAAATTTATAAGTATATTAAAGTATATTATATTATATTTTTCGTACCTAAATTATATTTATGAGGAAATATTTTTAATCACAATAATGAGTAGCTAAAAGTTTATTCATTTAAATCATAGGTTGCAAAAAAGATGAACAAGATTGTTGAGTTTCTGACGTATTGCTCATTGTAGTATACTCTGGTGTTAAGTTTGGTTGTAAATGTATTGGAATCGATAAACATAATATTGTGGAGCTCTCTGTTGATATGAAAATGATGTGTTACTAAAATTATTCCGTTTTTTTTTATATCATGAACTAGCTTTAATACTGAAATACGGAACTCATATTTTTCATCTTCCGTCATATTTTGCACAGATGGTAAAATAGAAGCGAAAAAAGACTGATCTTCATCTGGAGGAGTCGTAGGTGTATCGCACGTTTTTAAAGCTTTAATTATTTCCCTATCCAAATCGTCCAAATCGTCACTCATGTTTATAAGATAACATAAAATCGTACACACAGATTGTACATATATAATATGTTAATATACACACAGATTATACATATCTATGTTAATATACTAGTTACCATTTTACCAACAATCAACTAGGTACCAACATTTCCTGAATAAATTTGAATATTATTTAAATTATTACATTAATTGTTACTGCATATTATAAGAGCAGTATACTATAGATTTATTTAGTATGAATCTGTTTTTTTTGTATCATTTGAATTACATACCAATATAGAATGATCTGTATAGCATTGTATTATCTATAATAATTTTGTATTATTACAATTGTATTGGATTTTCCAATGGGTTTTTCATAGGAAGTACAAACTTAGTCCTAAAGTTACTGTTTAGTGTTTACTATAATTTATTATTTTCATAATGAGTGACTTTGAAGACGACCCAGTTAACATAAGAGGGCCAAATCCCAAAAAAAGAAAAACACTTCACCGACAACAAAAATTTCGTCAAGAATGGTTTACATTGCCAGAGATGAAAAATTGGTTGATGCCAGATAAAGATCCTTTTAAAGGTACGCGTCCATAGGTACGCATCGTACGTATCGTACGGATCGTATGAAACGGATTTTAGAATTATTAGTATAGTAAGTTATACATATGCGTCCACTGGCCGGCAGCGGACGGATCGCACGTATCGGTCCGTCGGTAATGCCGACGAAATTGATCGAAGGGGCAACTTTTCCGACTGGTGCGGATGACGTCATACGGATTGCCGATAAGTGGACGCGTGTCACAACGGGTCGTCACTGGTCGCCACACTGATCATTTTAATTCTGTTGTATTTCGACACTCAGTACACACGTGTTTTAATTATAATATATTTATTATTTAAATTATAATTATTATTACGCATATTATGGACATCGCAAGGCTAATAACAATTGTACAAGAGTACGAAGAGTTGTACAATTTAAAACACCCTAATTACTCGAATCAACAAAGACGAGACAACATTTGGGAAGAAATTGGAAAGAGATTAAATCAAACTGGTAAGTTTATTCATATTACAATATAATTAGTTAGTAAAATAAAGTTATTTAGGTACAAAATGTTTAGTTAATCACTGTATCATAGAGTCACGTGAACCTCCTTCCAGCTCGAACTCTCCTTAATTGCCATTCTACTGACCCTGCTGCTGAATTAAAATAACTTTTGAAACCATCCCTAACTGCTAAAGCATCTGTTTTCGAATTTCCACCTATATTTCTTAAGTCTTGCAGTCCTCTCATGTTGGAAATAGAAATATTCAAATCATTTTCTGTCCAGTGACACGTGTCATTTCTTAGAAAGTTGTGCAAGCAACATGTAGCCATTACAACACTCACAATCAGGGTTGACACCTTTTTGTTTTTAAAATAAAGTACATCATGACTTATGGAGATATTTTTGCACCCAAAATAAATTGTGAAAATTCAAAATACTGAACCAAACCAGTAATGAGTAAAGTACAGGACAAAAAAAAAACAATTATTTAAACAATAAAAAAATGTGAATTTATTGATATCATACAAACATCATAGAATTAAAACATAGTATTAAGAACTAATCTTTTTAACAAACTTAAAACAATATTTTATTATTACATTATTTCTATAAATATATTATAAATTATTTTTATTAACGATATTTTTAAATGTATACTTTTTAATTCCTTTAGCAGCTTTTAGTAATTTTTCATCTTTTAAAATTATCATAAAGTTCAGTGCATGTTTCTTTAGCATTAAGAGTGATAATTAATTCGTATTTGATAAGTTCAAGCCTACACTTATTTCTTTCATCTCTATATTTTAAGTCCATCATAGAAAATACTCTCTCACAGTAACTTGATGTTGCAGGAATACTATATATAAAACTAACAACTTTGTAAATATTTTTAAGATGAAAGATATTATTTTTCAAGATTTGCAATTTTAAATAAACTTTGCCATTTATTAATTGTAATATTGAATACTATTACTTCTAAAATAATAATATTATACCATTTATTAGCGTCCCCACAATATCTATATTCCGTGTTAAGAATAATTGATGAACTATTTTCCTCAAGTAAATATTATAAGAAATAAAGTATTTTAGCGTACTTTATTAAGACTACAAAGTCCAAAGTACAGATGTGAAAAAAAAAGTACAATACTTTAAAAAATAGTACGGGTGGCAACCCTGCTCACAATGTGTTCTTGAGACATAGACAACTTACGTTCGAAAATTCTAAATTTCCGTGCCAATATTCCAAACGTATTTTCCACAGTGTTTCTAGCACGACTCAACCGATAGTTAAACACTTTTTTTTCTTCGTTTCTTTGTGCATCGTCGCGTGAGTATGGTCGCATCAAATTCGTGCATAATGGGAAAGCTTCATCACCAATTATGACGTGAGGTAATACGTCACTGCCCCCGGGTAGTATTTTTGGTGAAGGTATATTTAGAGTTCCATTCTGTAAGCCTTTACCCAAATTAGAATTTCGCAAAATGCTAGCATCAGAGTTTTTACCAAAAGCCCCAATATCTACGACTATGAATTTATAATTTGCATCCACTAAGGCTAATAGCACCGTACTAAAGTGTTTTTTATAACAAAAATAATTTGATCCACTGTGCGGTGGTGCCTGTATCAACACGTGTTTCCCATCAATGGCAGCAATCGCGTTAGGAAAATTCCATTTTTCACGAAAACCTTTTTCCGATTCTCTCCATACTTCTTCAGATGGTTTAGGCATTACTAGTGGCTGTAGAAACTGGGATATGGCTTCGCAGGTTGAGTAAACGATTCTTCGTACTGTGCGTTCACCTAGCCTAAAGGAAAATGAAATTGAACGAAAAGAGTTCCCAGTGGCCAAAAACCTGAAACAAAAGTAAGGGCAACCGAAACAAGGTTAATATTATTCTATATACTCAAATAGGGTAAAGTATACAGTTATTGGCACTCTTTAGAAAAGTGTACATTTGATTCCATGATATTTCAGACTTAAACATAGTTAAAACTTGTATTATCATTTTCAATGATTTAGAAAATTGTTATCAATTTTACTTTATGATTATTATATATAAATATTAAATACTTTTTTTTTTATTTACCATCAAGTATAAAATAATTGAAAATTATAGTTATTGGCACCTAAAATTGTGTTATTGGTTTTATAATTTCTGTTATTGGCATCCTCATAAATTATGTATGTAATTTAATAGTTTTATTGATTCATTTGATTAAATTAATAAATAAAACTACCTACTTATACTATATTTTAGATAGATAGTTACTACTACTTAGGTATAAATGGTATAATAAATAATAATTAGAAAACACATATATAAGCACCAAACAAAGTTTAAACTACACCTAACGACCTAACTATAGAAAAATATACATATTTAGTTTATAATTCTTAATAAAATAACTAATGAACTAATTAATTGTGTTGTAAATTTATTTTATAATTTATTATTTAACCACCACCTATTTGCTTCAATTAGGTAACTCATTCTAAAATCCACAACATTTTATTTGATCACAATATGTAGTAATCTATTGTGGTTAGGAATAACTAAATTAACGATATATTATTATCGGCGGGAACACTTGATTACACGACATGATCAGTTTAGCCAGATATATAAAAAAAAAAATCATTTAAAAGTCAAAATGCTCATTAATTAAAAATAAAATACTTTCGTAGTGCCAATAACTATACCAGTGCCAATAACTGTACACTTTACCCTACCTATAAATAAATAGCCTAATATACGCGTATCCTTAAAACTGAACATTTTATAATTTTTAGGTTCTGAATTAAGTGATGAATGTATTGATTTTACAATGATGTGTGTTTATTTTGTTTTTTTATGTATCTACATTGTAAGGTCATTTTTTGAAAGTTACACCAAAAATAAAACAAACACGTCGTAAAATCAACACATCGTTAATCGCCTCGATCATAATCTAAAAATATTGATTCATTGTAATGCATTACAGGTAATGCATGCAAGGAGAGATGGACCAGAACTAGAGACAACCATAGGAAGGCTTTGAATCTGCGCAAAACCAAAAGCGGCCAAGCAGCATCAAAACTGAAGCCTCCCAAATACTATAAAGAGCTCACTTTCCTCACTCCGTATTTGAATGACGAGGAAGAGAGACTTTCAAACCTATCGCCACCTATTGGTGATGATAGTAACAGTGATGAAGAAGAGCTTGAAATATCACGTAATCTAAATAATTTAGATAGTGATACAGTAAATGAATCAAGTGATACACAAGAGTCACAACCAACATCGTCATTGTTATCATCACGAACTGTTGGTAGGAAATCGAAGTTTGTAACACCACAACAACCAACTGCAGCTAACGTCCTTCAGGAATATTTATCAAAAAAAGAACAACTCAACAGCATTCAGAGTGATCCTATGGTTGAATTTTTTATAAATATGGCAAAAACAGTCAAGACTTTTCCTATTCGAGATCAAGTTCATATTAAGGCGCAATTGTTTCAAATGGTTAACAATGTAGAGATGAGACTCGCGTTAACTTCACCAACTTCTGTTTCCAACGTAACGATGCCTCCGCCACCATCAAATTATTCAAGGTTTTCTACACCGTCTACTTCAAAACAAACTTCAAATAGGACAATGTATTTTTCACCTACCATGAACGAAACTCTGCAAATTCATTGCCCGTCACCTGTAACGATGTCTCCTTCACCTGATTCAAATGTAATTATGACTCCGTCACCTAATTCTAATGCATCGATGTCTCCTATATCTAATTCAAGTTCCGTTATGTCTCCTTTGCCTAATTCAAATGTCATTATGACGCCTTCACCTTCCACAAACGAATTTTCTTATACGCAGGATCAAGATAATCAATATCTAAGTCAATTTTTAAAATTTCCTTATAATAATATAAATAATGTATCGGAATAACTTTGTTTTGTATCACATTGTAAAAAACTGACTCAACTAAAATAAAAAGCAAATTGGTTAAAAATTGAATCGTATTGTTTTTCACATTGCGTTTGAAACGATGTATCTACTTAATATTTAATACCTACCCAATAATTATATTTTTTAATATTTAAAACTAATTGTTTTTAATACATACCTTAAACACACAGCAAGTTTTTGTTCTGGTTCTATGGCCTCTCTGTATGTTGTATTCTGTCTTAATATATGAGGACGTAAGATGTCAAGAAGAGTTGTGAATTTGGCATGAGACATACGAAAATACTGGAAGAATTTTACATCGTCGTTGAGCAAATCAGTAAACAGTGTATGATATTCTCCAAATTGTGACCTTTTTTTGAATATGTCATGTATCCACATTCTATGTTTTCTCTTATTTCCTCTACTTTCTTCTTCATCTAATAACAAAGTAATAATGACAAGTTCTTCATCACTTTCCATGTTGTCTATTAGGTACACACACTGTAATACTGGATTGTGTAATGTTTCTGATCGTTCACTCGCAACGAAAATGCGAATGTTAATTTAAAAAATACGACCGTCGCATCGGCAATCCGATCGCTACGGATACAGTGGACGCACTACCACAAAATGATCCGTTTCATACGATTCGTCCGATACGTACGATGCGTACCTATGGACGCGTACCTTAAAGCAGCTTGCAAACAATGTAGAACTACCATGGTAGCCGAACTGACAAATTTAAAATCCCATACAAAAGGGATTAAACATAAACAGATGGAAGCTGCTGGTACAATAAAACAAAGCCCAATATCTTCATTTATTCAGACTGATGCGAACACTCAACTAAAATCTAATATTCAACGAGCCGAAATTAAATTGTCTGCATTTATGGCAGTGCATAATATTCCTTTTTTAGCAGCAGATCATTTACCTGATTTATTAAAAGAATGTTTTCCGGATTCAAAAATTGTTCAAGGTATTAATATGAAAAGAACTAAAACTAGTGCAATAGTAAAAAATGTAATTGGTGTAACAGCAAAGGAAGAGCTATCAGATATTTTAAAAACAAGAAAATTCAGCATCTTAACAGATGAGTCCACAGATATTTCATCTTTTAAGACATCATGTGTTGTTGTAAGGTAAATGTGTTTTAATTTTATAACAATTTAAAAGCTAAACAACTCTTAATATAATATAACATATTATATAATTTAACATATTATATAATATAACATATTATATAATATAACAATGATATATCTATTATATGTTGGTTATTTTTTAATACAGGTATTTTAATCAAAAAACTAAAATTGTAGTGAGTAAGTTTTGGGATTTACATCCCGTTTACACTGAAAATGCATGTATAGCTACTGCTGAAAGATTGTTTACTTTGTTGATGGAATCATTTTCAAAATTTAACATTCCTGAAGCTAATATTATTGGGTTTGGATCTGATGGTTGTAATGTGATGATGGGCGCTTCAAACTCAGTTGCATCTCGTTTTAAAGAAAAATGTCCGGGTATTTTCGTTCTTAAATGTGTTTGCCACTCTGTACATTTATGTGCAAGTGAGGCTTGCAAAGAGCTTCCTCGAAATTGTGAAGATTTTGCTAGAAATGTTTTCAATTTTTTAAAAAGTAGCTCTAAATGACAAGCTGAATTTTTACAATTTCAATCATTTTTGCAAGTTGAGCCTCACAAAATATTGCACCCATCGCAAACTCGTTGGCTGTCATTAAATTTAGTTGTTGGAAGGATTCTCGAACAATGGCAAGCACTAAAATTATATTTTACTGACATTTGGTTAAATCAACGCTTGCTGTGTGCAGAGCATATTTACAAAGCTTTAAATAATCCATTCTCAAAACTATATTTTTACTTTTTGGAATGGATATTACCAAAGTTCACAAGGTTTGATTAGTCATTTTATGCTTATGTATTTTGCGTTAACTGCTTTTATGCTTATTGCTTTTGTATTAATTCTTAGATTTAATCTCTATTTTCAAACCCAAAAAGTTGTGATAACTGAACTTCATAACATGGTTATTGAACTTTACCAAGATATATTGTTGTGTTTCTTGAAACGAGAATATGTGACACAAAATTTTGCAGATGTTTACCCGAAAAATAGTCAATATCAAGTCATTGAAAGAAACTTGTATTTAGGTGCTAAAGTTATGTTGCACATTGACGATAAAGAAATAGTAGATAATAATATTTGTAGAAAAGATTTTTTCGAAAGGTACTTATATGATTGCTTATTGACTTAGTTTTGTTGTAAATTATTATTACAATAAATACCTAAATTAAAAAATACCTAAATATTCTTATGCCTTAGATGCCGGAAGTTTTTACCGACTGCATCCTGTGAAATAAAAAAAAGGTATAATATGAGTGATGAAGTACTATCAAAATTGTCATTTTAAAGGCACAAAATGCAGTTTCACTAGCTTACCGAGAAAATTGTCCTTCCTTAATTCCTCTGATTAAAGTTGTACTAAGTTTGGTTGATAATGATATTTTGATCCAACAAATTGATGACCAGTGGAGAAATTTACCAGTAGCTTTAGCAAAACATCCTAATGAAGATATTATTAATTTACCAGTAGATACATTTTGGCAAGTACAATTCTTGTATAATATAATATAATGTATAATTTCTTGTATGTAATAATTTGTTTGATATGCATAACAATAAAAGTAGTATTTGAAGTTAGTGTACGTGTAATGTATCTTAATTTTTTTTGTAGGTGGGAAATTCAAAAATATTCCAATACCTTCATTGAATTATGTACATTTGCGCTTGATGTTATGTGTTTGCCCCATGCGGATGCGGATTGTGAACGGGTATTTTCAGCAGTTAATGGGGTTAAAACTAAGTTCCGGAATCGTTTAGTCACAGAAACTATAAGTGGTGTTTTACACTCAAAACAGTTGATTAAAAACACCTCCAATGACAATTGCATTAAGTTTGAACCCACAAACAAAATGTATGACAAAATGACACATAGTGTGTTATTTCCCAAAAATGTAACTGACGAAGAAACAAAAACAGTTTTTAATCTTTTTAGTAATTCAAATTAATTAATTTATATTTATATTTTTTATTGTCTCATCATGGACATTGTATGTTTAATCTATGTTTGTGTTTTATACTACTTATTAAGTTTAGCTCCTTATGATTTATACTTAAATTTGATTTTTCATTACAGACTATTTTTGATAATACTCACTTTCATACCCTGAAAATATTTCAACTCAATAGTTGTAATTGTAAATATTTAATGGTGTTTAAGGTGAAGAAAGGTAATAAGTACTATATACTTGACTGTGGTTGTATGATATGGGAATGTTTTATTAATTATTATTACTTATATTTTATTTATTTGACATATTTTATGGAGTAAAATTAAACGACGAACTAACATATTAGTCGGTAATATAATTGTACGATAATTTTGATAAAAAATACGATATTTTTAACTTCAATTGTGCGTTATTTCATTTTGTAAAGCGTGGAAACACTGCAACCAACCGACGCGCGAAGGCGGCGACGAGTTCTCGTTCGGGAGCGTCGTTTATTTGTCTATGAACGTTTGTCCAGTACGATTCGTATCATTATAAAATTCATTATACGCAAATGCCACCGTAATATTATCAATATCCTCGCGTATCTATGAACTACCACCGATTATAATTTAAGATACTCCTTACCTATATGTATGTCCTAATATATAGATCATAGAAACTGCATTATAACATAGCTTGATTTGTAGTTATTGAATTATAACTTATTTAAATATAATACTTATAGTAGAATCGTTTTTCTTATACAATGATATTATATCATTGGATTAAAATTGAACACAATCCATTACAGTGACTCACTTGTAACCTACTGTACAGCAGAGCGACACCCACTTACCCACCCTTTTTTAAAATTAATAATGTGTCGGTAATAGGTATACTCATACCTAATATAGCAATATTATATTTATAATAATATAATACTCTAAAATCTTTATTTATCATTCTATAATTTTTGGAGATCTGATAAATTCACTGCCTAAAAATAACTAACTATTAAAATGTATAGTCGTATAATATAATGTTAACAAATTGTAACATCAATTAAGGGGATTCGATACCGCGATGTTCTGTTTTTGTCTAACACACGCGCGACATAGTATTTTAGACGTGTTTTTTGCCAAACATTCCAATTGATCTATTGAAGCGATAAGATTTCTGAAAACAGATTTGAATTTGTCGTCAAGCCTACTTGAAATCGACTTTCCCACATTTTTGATTTTTTGATTTTAACTTCTCCAAAAATTGAAATACCAGAACTTTTAATTACTCTTTTTGAATATGACATTTTAAAAAATTTGGGGGATAATATCAAAAATGTGGGAAAGTCGATCTCAAGTAGACTTGACGACAAATTCAAATCTGTTTTCAGAATTCTTATCGCTTCATTATATCAATTGGTATGTTTGGCAAAAAACACGTCTAAAATACTATGTCGCGAGTGTGTTAGACAAAAACAGAAAATCACGGTATCGAATCCCCTTAAGAAAAAAAATATTTATATAAATAACTGTTTGTTTAAAATTACTATACAAAGAACTATACAACATTTTTCTATTATTAAAATTAAGGAAAAACTGGAATTTTTACATAAAATTGATTTTAGTTTTAGGTGTAACTCTAAAACAAATGACCGTAGATACATGAAATTTTGAGTGAATGTTTATTATAGCAATTCCTATACACCATGAAATTTTGAAAATTTCGAATTATTTTTGGATGTTTACGGACATTTACAGTTTCCAATTTTTTTATTTTTTTATATAAAAATAAATCAAATTTGTGGGGTAAAAAAGCTTGAAAATGTAATACAAGGCTCCTAATACATTGATTAATAGTGGTTGAAAAATATTAAAAATACATGGTCACAATTTTATTTATAAGCATTAAAAGTTCAAATTTATTAAATTTAAAAATTAAAAATTATTTTGTCGTTAAAAATGTCAAAATTTTAAAACTTAAAATACAGATATTATGTTACTGAATACATATACTTATAAAATAAAATGTTGCCTATGTATTTAGGATATTCTTGATTGGTATAAGAACAAGTAATTGGATATTTGAACAAACAACAAGTCAAAAAGAACATATTTAATACAATTTATTCAAGTTGATATTACATAGTGTACATACACTTTAATAGTCTATTTTGCACATATTATGATAACATAACATTATATACATTATATAGTAGTTACCTACTAATAAAAATAAAAATATAATAGTATATATCTACTGTATTATAGGGATTAGCTAGGTATAGTATAACTTAGAGAATAAAAATAATATAATACATAAATAAACATGAATATTTTTAAAAGATACATATAGGCTATAATATTATAAATTATAATATTTAAAATTATACTAAATACTGTATATTTTATATTATTAGGTAGATACCTATACCTATTATATTTTTTTAAAGTTTTCTATTCATATTTTCCAATATATGTCGAGGATCTTTTATATCATCTAAAAGTAACCGTTTGCCGTACTGCCGTACTATTTCTGGCAAATAAACAATACATGTAGAAACTAAAAAAAAATTGAATAATATGTATTATGTATTATTATTTATTTCCTATAGTTATTACGGTATTTAAATATAATATTAATGTTTCTCAAGTTTCCAATTTTTTAAACATTTTTTGTGACCAAAATGCCTCATCGTATACAATTTTCTGAATTTTAGTCCAATTAGCTGAGTGTACAACAAAATAACAAAATTTTTTTTGACAAATGTGCATTTGGCCTTGCATATGAAAAGAACAATGACTGTCAGGTTTTAATTCCATTTTATTTTCTAAGATTTGGCAATAAGGCACCTACATTTTTCAAAAATAAAATACAAATATTTAAGTCAATAGTAGCTTTGTTAGTAACAATGATGCATAGGTTATAACTTATATTTACTTTTTTGTTCAACACAGCTTCCTCAAATGAAACAAAATCTTATGCACCAAAAGGACACTTAATTTCTACAATCCCGTCATCTTCAACTAAGCCATCTATAAAATAAAAGATATAATTTTTTTCTGTAAACCTAAATCTAAATATATATTATTCAAATATTTATTATAATACAGTATACACACCTGGAGAAGCTGCTAAATAATATAGATTTGCATCTACCACCAATCCACTTGGTCGTACTTAACAGTTTAAAAAGATTTCAAGTGCTGTTATAGCAGACGATTCTAATGCTTTTCTATACTTAGTGGCCGCAGTGGAAAATGTTCTATACAATAAATCATATACAGTTGATTTACACGATGTTGTTGGTTTCATTTTACATATACGCCCGAAGTTGGATGCTTTTAAACGATTTCTTCAATGGCTCACTAGGCCAAAGTTGACATTAAGCTTGATCTCTTGTTTTTTCTTCAAGAGCCAATCGTCCACTTCTGTCTAATGTCAAACTGTTAAAAAATTGTATTTTTTAAATTCAATTTCTTCAGGTGTTACGTGTTCTTCCGAAAGTGGCTCAGCTAAACCATAATGTTGACAACTGTTGTATAATATATTACGAACGTTCTAACGTTCATATCGCTCCGTGTTCTATTCTTTGTAATTTTGGATCAAATTACCCGTTTTTTTACTTTTTAAGTTCGTCAAGTTCATAATAAGTGCGTGTACAGACTGGTGTCTCGTTGTTGAGTCAGTCTGCTTAATACCTGTTCACTCAATGTCAGTTTTTTTAATTTGCCTTCAACTACATAGCGGAAAGGTATATTAAATTTAACTAAATTTTATCAGTAAAGTACGGCTTCTATCGGTTCAGATAATCAGTTGCGACCCGTGACTGCTATTTCTGATTGAATCCGGCACGTGTCAAGGCCACCATTTATTGTTATTATTAAGCTGGAAACAGACTATTGTCACGTCACGTGAGCTCACGTGCTATCACGGTATCTCACGTCACGCGGAAAATGTGTAGATTATGTAGAATACACAGTATTTAAATATAACTAGTATCGTCAGAACCACACTGAAGTCACGTCACACGTATCACGTCACTTTACCAACCTCACGCGTGACAGCACGGTTTTTGTTTCTGAAAGTTTACACATTTTCGACTCACGTTACCTCACGTTTATATAGTTTATATTCAATAATTTTTTTCCCGAGTTCTGAAATAAATATTTTAAGTTTTCCAAATGGACGAGCTTTTAATAGAAAAAGTAAGGGATCATGAAGCCCTGTATAATCATGGTTCACGTGATTATCGTGATCAACAGCAACGTCAAACTGCATGGGAAGAAATTGGAAAAGAGTTAAAAATATCAGGTATGATAAATATAACTTTTAAATGTTAATTATATTAATTATGTTAATTATTTGGTATATGACTTATTAATTACTTAAACAACTAGTATAATGTAATTTGTCAATTGTATATTAAATATTAGTAGTGAAATAAGTAAATACTTTATCAGACGTGTATACCAGCGTTTTGTGTAGAAAACAAGTCTAATAATATACACTAGATTAATCTAATCTAATCTTAATACATACATTATTATACGCAATCATATTATATTTCTTCAATCCGCATTTTGTTTATACAAAAATAATCAAATATTACATAGACATATTTTTATTTAGATAATGACAATATTTAATACAATATAAGCACAACGAGAATATGAGAATTTAATTTTAACTTTTATTACGTCTTGTTTTATAATAAAAAAATTAACTGATGGCTATATAATAATAAGTTATGTTAAAACACGTATAGCTTAATATTTATGAATTAAGAATGAATTCTTCCTTTTCGAACACTTTCCACCTGCCAAACAACACTACCAGCATCTGAATTAAAATAATCTCTAAATTTTTCTCGTACTTGAAACGCTTCACGAGTGCTATTTCTTCTTAGAGGATCTAAATTCAATAAAGCTGCTTCTGGAAGTTGTAATGATTCATTATCGGGTTCAAACGCATTGTCTGCGCATAACATGTTATGCAGACAGCACGATGCAAGCACAATTTTATCTACAATTTCTGGTTGTACTTCTAAGTGCCCACGGAAACACCTCCAACGAGCGGCCAATATTCCAAAAGCGTTCTCGACAACGGGTCTTGCTCGTGACAATCGGTAGTTGAATATTTTATTGGGCTCATTATCCCCTAAATAGTTTCTACTGTATGGGCGAAGCAAATAACTCTTTAATGGAAATGCTTCGTCTCCAACAATGACATAAGGCTGAGGATCTCCGTTTTCTGTTAAAGGGGCTGGCTCTGGAACATTGAGTGTCTTATTATTCAACTTTTGACCAATTACTGACTGAGAAAAAATTCCACCATCACTATTCCGTCCATATGAGCCGACATCAATTGCAATAAACTTATAGTCTGCATCAACAAGTGCTAAAAGTACAACTGAATGACTACCTTTATAGTTATAATAAGTAGATCCGGCATTAATGGGGCATTGGATATTAATATGCTTGCCATCAATAGCACCGATGCAATTTGGGAAATGCCACATTTTTTTTGTATTTTGCTGCAACATTTTTCCACATTTCTTCTGTGGGTGGTGGCATTACGATTGGTCCCAATCTATTCCATATTGCATCACAGACTTCTTTTACAATTTCTCGAACCGTACTGAATCCCAATCTGTAGTTGAATCCAATACTTCTAAAACTATTTCCTGTTGCTAAAAATCTGAAAAAAGAGGATTAATATAAATAATTTTAGATTCTGAGTGGAACGATGAATGTATTGATTTTACAATGATGTGTGTTTTTATATTTTTTTTTTTATTTTTGTGTCTATGTACACGATAACATTTTCAAAATAATTTGATTTATTTTGAACTGTTTAGGGACATTTTAATTTTTCATTTTTTTTTAGTTTTTTTTCTAGAAATATCAATAAAATTTTATTCGTTGGTCAAAAACACAATTTTTTTTTATAAGCATTTAAAGATCGAATTTTGACAGAATTTATCTAAATCTCGAAAATTATCAATCATTGTAATTAATAAATTATAAAATGTTCAGTTTTTATAGCTAAGGATTGAAAATTTAAAACAAGATTCCATCTAAGTAGTTAATTCTGTTACCAAAAAAACTAAAAAATACCTAAAATAACTATTTTAGGTATGTTTTTGTGATTTTATGTATTGTTTTTATTCGTGGGCACTTGAAACTTGTAATTTGTACTATTATATTATACAGTGACCCACTTGTAACCTACTGTACAGCAGAGCGACATCCACTCACCCACCTTTTTTAACTTTAGATTCTAAATATAAAAATATTGAAAATAAATTAAAATAGTTAAATAAATAATATAATAATATAATATAATTATTAATTATATTATATTTTCTATTCAGGAAATCTAGCAAAACAACGCTGGGAAAACTTAAGGAGATCTTTTTGTAATGCAAGAAACAGACGTCGTGATGAATCAAAAAGTGGTTCAGCTTACAAAAAGAAATCATCTTGGAAATTTGAACAGCAAATGTCATTCATCATACCTTTTTTAGAAAGTAGAAAGTAAGTACAGTGAGACCTCTAAATACCGGACACTCACGACCACCGTAATTTTGTCCGTTATATAGAGGTGTTCGTTAAGGGAGGGTTTACTGTATTGATATTGGGATTGGCATCAACATTACAAATTTTTTTTGTTTTTATATATTATATTATATTATATTATAATCTATATTTTTCTTTTGAAGGACGCAAGGAAATTTTAACGAGTCTAACTTATTTGCTGAACCTGAAAATCTATCAGAAGAGTCTGAAGCAGAAGATCTCGCATCTTTTAGTCCACTGAATAGAGAAAACGAACAAGATTCTCAAGCCGACCAAACTTCAGATTTCCATTCAGCTTTTAAGGAATCTGATATTCTTGAGAAACGCAACGAACCAGTAGAAACGTTAAAACGTTTTAAAAAACAAAAACAACATACAACTCCAGCAGGACAATTGGTGGAACTTATAAAGGAAAGTTCGGCTTTAAGGAAACGCCAACACGAAGAAAAAAAAGCACATCAGGCTGCAATTAAGTCAGATAGTGTTTTAGATACACTTGATGATACTGACTTGTTTTTTTTAAGCATGTCAAGAATGACGAAGCAGTTGCCAAAAGTGGAGCAATCCCAAATTAAACTTGAGTTAAGTAATTCTGTACTATCTGCAGAAATAAGATGCAACCAACAATCATTTTCGTCGACTCCCTATCCCTGTTCTATACAACCTCAATCATTTGCCTCATCTCCATCGCCAGCTCTAAGTCAAGAATATTCCAGTGGCGAACATTCAACGAATCCCGAAACGAACAACAGAATGACCGTACTTGAAATGGTAAATCTTCCTCCAACCTACCTACCAATAAATTAAGTATTTATCTTTTTTTGTTATAATTAAGCAAAAGTTAATATTTCACATAAAAAAAATTGTATCTTAAAAAATTAAAAAATTGTATTCTATTCTAGTAGTGGTTAAATAAAATATTTATAATTTTAATACCAATATTATGGTTATATTTTATAATTATTATTACGTACCTTAAGCAAACAGCTAATCTTTCTTCTGTGCTGACGGCTCTTCTAAATTGAGTATTTTGTTTATATATGTCTGGTTTAATGAGTTCATGTAAAAAATCAAACTCTTCCATCGTCATCCGGAAATACATATGGAATCTTTTCGTATCTTTTTTTAATTCCGGAACAAGTCTATGAAACTCACCCAAAGTTTCTCTTTTTTTATTAATTGCATGGACCCATTCTCTTGTTTTTGTTTTATTTTCTTCTTCATCAAGAACTACAAAAGCAGCTACAGCTTCCAACTCCTCTTCCCAACCCGATGAACTACTTGAACGTCCACAATCCATTTTAATTAAAATGACGCAACCCTTGGGTATAATGGTGGACAACCGACTAAATACTGTGATGTGATAAAGCATGACAATAGAAAATGTGACAGTAGTGTATTTCCAAACGTGACATCACGGTTTAAATGTGATAATGTGATAGCACGTGAGCTCACGTGACGTGACAATAGTCTGTTTCCACCTTTATCATTCTTAGTGTGCAAATTATTTGGCCTATCTGCATTGTTCAAGGCGTCATATTTGATTAATTGCCTACTTTACCAACGATAACCGTAAACGCATATTGTCCCAAAATAATTTAATTTTAAATTAATTCGAATTTATTTTCCCAATACTTTAATTCAGTCTATGTTCCACCATTATCTATTGACTCTCCATCTTCATTCCTGTGCCATGACCTGCCTAGCACTTGCTCATTCAGCATCGATGATATTGATGATATCCTCGATGCTCTAAAAAATGTAAAGTCAGTAGGCCCAGATGGCTTATCAGGTATTTTCTTGTACAATATTAAATCTTCACTATGTTTTCCACTGTGGCTACTTTTTAGGCGTTCCATTGATTGTGGAGTTTTCCCATCTATCCTTAAGATTAGCTCTGTCACTCCTATATTTAAATCGGGTGATAAAAACGATGTCAAAAATTATAGACCAGTTTCAATTTTGTGCCACATATCCAAACTTTTCGAACAACTGGTATTGAGAAATATTCAATCTTCTGTTAATTCAATTCTAATCGACAAGCAGTATGGGTTCAGACCTGGTCGCTCGGCCACTATGAATTTAATGGTATTTAACAACTTTGTTTTGGAGACTGTTGAAAAGCACATCCAAGTAGACGTTATTTACACAGACTTTGCAAAAGCCTTTGATAGTGTTGACCATGGCTACTTAATTGATCCTCTATATAAGTCCGGGTTTGGCGAACCACTGCTGTCGTGGTTCAAGTCCTATCTATCCGACCGAGTTCAATGGGTTAAAGTATTCGGCTGTAAATCTTCCATCTCTAAAGTCTCTTCTAGAGTTCCTCAGGGAGGACATCTATCCCCGATCTTGTTTTCACTGTATGTAAATGGCATCAAAGGGGTTATCAAAAATTGTGAATTTCTCATGTTTGCTGATGATTTAAAACTTTTTAGGAAAATTGAAAACTTATCTGACTGCTCTGCGCTCCAGGATGGCCTAAACAACATGATTGCATGGTTTAATACTATTGGTTTGCAGTTTAATGTGAATAAATGTCATTCCATGTCATTTTTTAAACACATTTCCTCTATCAGTTATACGTATGCAATCAACGGTTCTAATGTGACATCTGTCAGTAGTAAGAAAGATTTAGGTTTTATTTTTAATACTGACCTGAATTTTCACTCTCATATTGAAATGTTATGTTGCAAAGCTTTAAAAACGCTTGGGTTCGTAATACGTATTTCGAAAGAGTTTAATTTATATTCTTCTATGAAAACAATCTATTGCTCCTTGATCCGTTCCTTATTAGATTATGCTTCTGTCCTATGGAACCCTTATACGTTAGCGGACTCCTGTCAATTAGAACGTGTTCAGAGACGATTCCTATCTTGCACAGCTTTTACATTAAAAATAAAACATCCTCCCCACGACTACTCTATAGTTATGCAGGAATTAGGTCTCGTCTCATTAGCAGACAGGAGAGTTAACACCAACGTAGAGTTTTTGAAAAAACTTCTGGATGGTCACTTTGATGCTCCCTTTTATCTTGTATTGGTCAATTTCAAGGTCCCTTCCCGCACTATTCGACACCATATCCCATTCTTAGTTTCTACGCACACTAAAAATTATGGCAAAAATAATCCTATTGATCGCATGATGCGGCAGGTCAATGAGAGTACCATTTACCATAATATATTTTAATATTATTATTTTTTTCTTTTTTGTTCTACTTTAATATTACTAATTTATATTACCTATTATTATTATTATTACTATTATTGAATTATTATCATGTTTAAACTTATATAGTATCTACATTTGTATTGTCCTGTGTTAAATTGTTGTAAAGGGCTTTGCCCGCAAATATATATATAAATAAATAAATAAATAAATGTTGGTCTGGCTTGGTGGCTCTTTTTTTAATTTTGATTTCGGGAATAGTTCTTTTCGTCTTTTATTAGTTGTTCGTTTCATCTCATTGGCTTTTAAAAATTTTTTCCCAACTTCACCTGAATGAAATTGTGACGTAATGTTAGACTACATTTTATAAAAAAAAGAGAGATTGTTTTTGAAAATGTTTAGATTTGTTAAGTTTTGAATAATAATAATATTATGTAGGTATAGTACCATTAGACTGCCGATTTTATTATTTTCTCATTCAATTAAAATGTAAAATATAAAAAAAAACAATTCTTTACTTACCAGGACTTATGTTTGTAATGTTTTTATGCATTTTTCTCATGTATTGACCATATGAATTGTATGAAACTAATGCAGCTTCAACTCTAATATAATATGAATTACGCTGTGAAAAATGTATACGCTTTCCGGCAATGTGCTTATTTATTATAGAGTTAAACTGTTCACATGCATTATTGTCTACATTCATGTAGATAGCCTATGCCCTATCTGAATGTCCCGCTATTCTATTGCTCATTTGTGTTACTTCTTGAATTAAACCACATTTTTCAGCTTCAAAAACTAAATTAACTTCTCCATTTTTTTACCATCACAAAAGTATGGTTCACAACTTCCATGTTCTCCTAATATGGGGTAAAAACTATTCTTAATATCCTTTCGGATACCTAAAATATTTGTAAAAATTTAGTAACAAAATAAAAAAAATATTTTTTGTGGAAGTACAAAAAACTAATCATTTATTTTATCAGCTCCATCGCCATCTTTATGGTGTGCAATCGATTTTGTTATAGCTGTTCTAAATCGCATTGCATTACTCGCTATATAATTCCTAATTCGACTAGGGTATTCCGATTTTTTAGTTAATGCCGTAATCTTTTGACAATAATTTCTCAAAAGGTGGTTACGGCATTCTACTTTTTGAACGACACGTGAATATCCATATGGCATTATTTCTTTTAAGCGTTTCATTAAACTACTGTCACCATCTCTTATATTTTTTTAACAATTTATATAGGTATAATTTACCAAATATGTAGGTACTTATAACCTATATAGTATATACTTTATAATAATATCATAGAGGCCAATGCAATCAGTGTTGTTTGGGCACTCAAAGTAAAAAAAATGTCAGTACTTTTCATATGCACCGTGAAAAACAAAAAAAAAAATTACAGAAAAACGGGAATTTTTACGCACAATCAGTTTTCGACAAAATTGAATTCTTAATTTGGCTTGTAGTTGAAAATTTATAAAATTTTAATTATGAATATAGTGAGGTAAAATGGTTTTTTTTGTAATATTCTACTTTTTTCGAAGGTGTAGCTCTAAAATGGTTGTGAATTCGAAAAAAACATACGATATAAAAGTTTTAGATAATTTCATGAGCTTTATTTTGTTATTTAAAAAAATTTTTCTCCGATGCACCGTTTACGAGATATAAGCGAAAAACCCAAAAAGCGCAACTTTAACCCCCCTCCCCCCCTCCGGCTCACCACCTAGGTGTCAGGACTTTTAGTATGTTAATACCCTAAGCCCCCCGAACAAGTTTCTGAAGGAATCGCTAAGTTACCTGCTCACGCACTCTACACCTCATTTTGGGTCATTCATTGACTGGACTAGTGACCGGCGTTGTTATCGTATTTTTCCATTTTATTTTTATCTGTACGCTATTATTAGAATAATATTTCGATAACACATCAATGCTGTCATTTCGGTATTAGATAGTAAATTACTAGATTAGCATAGACCTTATACTAGTATAACAAGGTCTATGTAGATAGTAGATTATCTGATTATAATATTATTAGACAGTTCATTCGTCTTTTTCTTTATTAAATTATGAAATTGATAATTTTATTTTGTTGTCCGTACTTCGTGAAATTATATTCGCACATCAAAATGTCATGATTTTTATATTTATTGTGAGATTTATTATCAAATATTAAAATAGATTATTTTATTTAGGCCGGTGCCTCTGCAGTTTTTGGGCCCCGGTGTTTGACACTCCCAACCCCCCCGGTAGTTGCGCCACTGCTGGTTTGTTCTGTGACAATACTGACTTCTCATACAGTACATAGCCTCCTACCTAACCATAAATCAGTCCTAAAATCCTACAAATGTATTGAACAATATATATGAAGAACGAATAAAATGGTTCACTTGTTGTGATGGAGAGAATATTTTTTATAGTGTCTTCATAGCTTTAAATATATTTGTTGCTATACCGATAACAAGTTGCACCTGTGAAAGATCCTTCTCAATAATAAATATTGTTAACAAAATTATGAATTACAAGAGGTTAAGAAAGATGCACCTACTCCTAAATATGTATATTGGACAAGACCAAGCATAATATAGTGTTAATTATGAAGAGTTTTATAGACATTTTTAAAATATTGAACTCAACCGTTTATATACGCATGGCACTTAAGTAAAATATATTATTTAAAAGGTTAGATATCTAAAATATGGTTTTTTTCGTTGTTTTTATATGACATTATTATTATTCAAAAATACTTATTGAAAACAGTTGTGGTATTTGTATGTTTAGACTAAACATATAGTCCGTACAGATCAATGTACTATGGTTTAATCACTTTAATAGAACTAAAATTTTAAATCCAGGGGGCCTATTCTCAAATCAATCGAAAAGATCAGTCGAATAGCTTTTTTCGATCAAAAAAGTCTATTCGATTGCTGGTTTTCGATCGAGTGTATTCCCAGGCAGTGATGGAATATTGTAAATCGTAAATATTACGTTCGATCGGTTTTTCGATTTTCGAGTCGCTTATCACAAAAAACAGTTTTTATTCCATGAAATAAAACATTTTATCGGCTATATTTTGATACTACAATTTTTCACCAAATACTGTGAATTTATAGTATTTATTTTGTTTTTTAGTATTAATTAATAATTATGAATCCCCCCAAAAATTTAAGGGCAAATCTGTTACATTTGAGCAA